CATTTGGGTAAATTATGTGACAGACTTAGCAGGGGATAAAACATTACATAAATTCTGGAAATCGCACCGACAAAAGAATAGAAAAAGTCCATCCGCCAAATGCCAAATATTTAGGATTCCGGAGCTAAAATATTGACAAGGAGAAGGGGCAAGAGTTTTTTATGTGGTATTTAATACAAACAGATAAAGACGATAGGACAGAGCAGCGCAGCACTCTAGAGAATCTGAGGCATAGCACTGTCATAGACATCGTATATGAAAACTTGGTGGCTGAAATCGACATGCAGGTGGCATTGCGAGGCAGCAAAAAACAATGCTTCGGGGCGCTATAGGAGAGTAAAAAACCCTTTTCCACGCCTTTAGGCGTACAGGGCATATAGGGCTAGACCATTATTTTATAGATCAATCAGCACCAGATGAGTGATTTGGTCAGCATCACGCCGACCGCCTTTACTTCCCGGGACTGCACCCGGTACCTACTCAAGGCTGAGTCGACCTGAGAGCCAAGGTCATTTTTTGGAGGAAAAAGTCCGGCTCCGCCACGACCTTCTGATTCACAGGCGAGCGTCTAGCCGCTCCGCCACGGCAACTCCCGGTGTACACTATGGCCATATCAAACAGGTAGTGATGAAATACTACAAGTGGTGAGGGACTTTAATGAAAGTATCCAAACATCAGATGTACCAGATGACTGTTTACACAGATATCTTAAACCATTTCCAAAACCAGGCAGAGATCCCTCGCAGCTCATCAGTTATAGAATCATTACCTTGCTAAATGTCTATGGCAAACTGCTGGACAAAATTTGTGGTGAAGAAAGTTATGTCACACTTTGAAACAATGGGCATGCTACCAGACACCATAGGCAGTTGTAGGCCATCAAAGGCAACATGGGACAATCTGGTACATTCGCAAATGATGTGTATGAAGGATTTAAGCAAACGCAAGAAACAGCTGCTATTGCGATAGATCTTGGAGATGCTTATAGTAGTGTGGACTTCACATATCTTATGCAGTGCATGATGGGCTGTGGTGTGAACCTTTACTTAGCAAACTGGATATGGGCAGCACTGTTGAAAAGAACATTGGTATTTTGTTTAGGAACATGGAGATCAGATCCAATATGCATTTGCCCCGGCCTTTCTCGGAAATCATCATTGTCACCTGTCCTGTTTAAACATATATACAGCAAGTCTGGCAACAATTCAGCCCACTGGACCAGGGCAATTTTTGACATTTGCAGATGATGTCCTAATGTATCGAAGCGGGTCAGATGGGCACGACATGACCAGAGACTTGCAAAGAGCTCTGTATGAGATGACGGAGTGGAGTGAACAGACAGGGTCAAGAGTAAACCCATAGAAGGCCAGTGTTTTGTGGTGCTCCTTAAATAACGGCATCAGAAAAGAAGACTTACCTTGCATATTCATGAAGGGTATAAATGCTGACAGAAGAGACGAGCTGAAATACTTGGGTTTTACATTTGGTTGCAGTCTGTCCTACAGTAATCACGTGGAGCAGACTGATCATATGCAAGTGTGGCCTGGTGGCACCGAAGATGATGGTGGCGACACACATGGATCAGAGATTTTTGGTCTTATTGTTCAGTCATTTGGTCCTTTCAGTAATTGAATATGGCCTGGGAATATTAACCCTATCTTCTTCACAGTGTACAAAGCTTGAAAATGTTCAGAATGAAGGAATGAGAATTGTCTTGTGCTGCACATGAGATACACCAATCTAAACAATGAGGTATATGCTTGAGCTGACATCTGTAAAGTTGAGACTGTCACTGGCGCAAGCCATGCCCTTTATGCAAGTTACCAGTAATCAAAGGCATCCGCTGCATGGCAATAAAAATAAAAGATTTAAGAGGAGACCGGTTCAAAAGAGGAAAGTCATGGATGGCACTAGCTGAAGATCCCATTGAAACGGTGGCCCCAGTCAAGCAAATACACAAGGGTCAGGAATGGGTCAACACCCACAACAGCAGTTTTCATCAGGTCATTATTACGTTTGGGGGAGAATGTAGAGACTGGTTTAACAGCATAGAAGAATTAGAGCTACAACAACTGATAGACGATGACAAGGCTGGGCTAGATGATTCAGTAGTGTACACCGATGGTTCTTCTCATCGTTGTGTAAGATCTGGCTAGGGATTTTCAGCTAGAATAAAGGAAAAGATTTTTTTCTGAATTGTCTCTCCTACTCTGTCTTTGAGAACAGGAAGAATTGATGGGAATTTTTCTGCTTTGGTCTGCACTACCCATTTTTTTTGCCCAGACTGGCATGTTGTCTGCTGCCCTTCATGCTTTTTGACAGTAGATGTTCTTCTACACACCACGTAGCCAGGTATGATATTGAATTTGTTAGAATAAAATTTTATAAAAGGTTACATTGCTGTGACATTTAGTAGTTCATTTGTGAAACTCATTAACTCTATCAATAACAAGCAGGTAGTACTTTAGCTAATTCTAACCTAACCATTCGTGACCTGTAGAAAGTACTTCATGGAGGAGCAGACAGGGTAGTCCCCTGTTTGATCTGGCGACCTGATGTGAAATCCTTTGGGTGGTCAGGATGCTGAGCCAGCAATTTGGGGATCAACATTTTGAAATAACAGGTTTTCCAACTTCAGAAAAAGTGCCTTTTCAACAAGTGGTCGGGCCCCTTTATCTTCTTAAAATACGACACCGGTGGGCCAGCACAGGTGGTAACTCCTAAAGTATATAATATCTGGGTCTGAAAGAGTTCATATAATAATACCATAATACAGAATGAGTTAAGAAAAACTGGTAGTAGAATGGGTTGATAAAACTGCTGTATGATAAGGAGATAATTAAGGAATAATAAGTACAATTTTTTAGTGTATCGTAAGTTTCCACAAAATTATTAAGTTTCAAAATGAGGGCCGTCTTATAGTACTTATACAAGCAATGTAATCAAAATAATATTTATTTCTTAATGTTAAGTTACAAAAATAAGGGGGGGGGGGTGGGGGGGTTAATGTATGTTTACATGTTTTCACTTGTTGTGTTTCTGTAATTTTCACTTTAGTTTCTTACATTGAAATTCATTTTTATCATAGTAATGCATCATAAAAAATGTACATGAATATGCTGTACAATAACAGCTACAGAAATTGGAAATGATAGTTTTATGTGTTTTTATATTATGTATTTATATTATTAAAATATGATGGCAGCAGCTTTTGTTTAAAAGTACAAAACAAATCTATTAACTGGCAGCCATATTCTTGTTTCAAGATATTTATACATTATTATAATAATTATTATTATGTTTTAAATTATGTAATATGCCCGGTTATAAGTTTTAGTCCATAACATACACAGCTAATGTTTGCACTTGTGGTCATCTTGGACATTATTACCACTACATTACTTTCGTGTTTACTGTCATTCTATTATTGCTGTATGTGCCAGACTCATACATTTCTTAAAACAGTTTTCTAGCATTTAGACAGTGGTGTGGGTTCAGTCTTCAGAGGTTTCAGATTATTTTAAGGTTCTTTTGTAATAAGTCACCCCAGAGGACGTCACGGGAACAGTTCAATATTTTATAGTGTGGTAAGACAGGGTTTCCCGGCTTTGTGGTGCTTTTAACTACCCCAAACATCTAAAACTGGACCTAACCCCAACCCACTTACTTCCTATGAGAGAGTGCAGCCTAGGTCCCATGACTGCATGCAGCCTGTCTACCACCCCCTGAAATATTGGACTGTCTGTGGGGTGACATATTACGAAAGCATGTATTTTTGACTACTACAACTCTAGGGCCAAATCAACCTTTAAAAAAAAAAAACAGATTACTTAGTTTTGTGGGGGATTGTCCAGGAAAGTAAGTAAGGCGATAAGGAAGGGAAGTAGCCAACCCATCCCATCTGTCATTATCTAGGTTTACACCCCAAGTATTAGCATGTGGTTTCTTCATTTCCTTAAAAAACAAAACCAAAAAAAAAAAACAGATCACTTACTGAGTTTTACAGGGATTCTTTTGGGGGAAAAGTGAAGGGATGAGGAAGAAGGGAACTAGCCAACCCATCTCATCTGTCATGGTCTATGTTGTATGAAGGCCTAACACCTTGTTTTAACTTCAGATTTTGTTTGTTCACAGATCAGTCATGAAGGGAAAAGGAAAAGCTAAAATAAAGTCGCCTGTAAAGCATTCCTTGAAGGCTTCAGTAAAAAATATAGGCCAGTTGGTCACGATTACTGACATGTTCAAAAAACAGAATGATAGAATATTGAGACAGTCAGAAAGTTGTGGCAGTAGTGTTGTTGTATCTGATGATGATGATGTTATTTTTGTAGAAGAAAATTACAGCTCCCCTTTTTTCAAGAAGACAGTACCAGACATCACAAACAAATCAGTCAAGAGCTCCACAAAATGGCCGTCACAAAATGGTAGAAAACGAAAACTGTCTTTAGTTAAGGCAGATCAGATGTTAAACTCTGACGCATCCTGTCTCCAGGGAAATTCTAACACTAAATCACATAGTGGAAAAAGAGAAAATGACAGTAACAATTTAATTGAAAACATTTTTGTGAAAACATCTACCTCAGTTACAAACCCTGACAGACTGGACATTAGCACAGAAGCACCATCAAACATGAAAACAAAGACTCAGAATGATAACAAGGAATATGTTTGCTCTGAAAATAACAACACTGAATCATCCCCTAAAGAAAAGGAGAGTTCAGATTCACATATCCTACATCTCAGTCATGACTCAATACAATCAGCTGGAGGTGTAAAATCTAATTCACCATATAAAATGCACCAGGATATTAGTGATTCTCCAGTATTTTCGCCACAGAAAGACTCAACAGAAATACCACTCTCTGTGAATTATTCTAAAACACTTGAAAAAGCTGAGAGTGCTGAATGTCAGAAAGATTCAAAACAATTATCCTGTCAAATTCTTATTGAGAGAGGTAATGAAAATCAGTACAGTGAAGAAATCGACCGTGATGTGAGTAATGGGGGCGACAGGTGTGGCCAGTGAATCACTCTTTAGAGTGCCTTATTACCTGAATAACTTTGAGACCTTGCTTAACTCGGTGATGGAAGATGAAACCAACAAGAAGTTGTTCAACAAGGAAGATTTACATATAATTACAGTGTACCAGAATCTTTCAGGTAAAATATTTTTATACTTTTGATTAACTGTATTCACAAATTGAACTAAGTAAAAGTGATTATTAAACATAACTTGTACATTTTCTTAGTTAAGTATTAAAATGCTTAAATGTGTAAAATAAGTGTGTAAGTTGTTGGCTGTACACATTGGCGTAGGAAGGGTGTATGCTGCACTGGGTGTTTATGGCAAAAAATATGTTTTAAGATTTGGGGGGGAGGGGGAGTTGAAGAAATTCTCTGCACCATGTACCACCAGACCTTTGCTTAGACACTGGCAGCACCAGACAAATATGTAAGGTATTAACTATATTAAGTGCTCTGTGACTAATTCAGTCATGTAACTACTAAGTTAATAGGAACACATTCTGTCAACGGTAGTGTCTTACCTATGGAATGGAGGATTAGACTGCATGACAGAATGATGATAGTCTTACATAAATAATTATTGCCGCTTTGTTGGAGCTGAAACCATAAAACAGCTGAGCATAATCTACAAACATTAGTTAATCAATGGTTGCTCGAAATAGAAAGAGTCAAATTGTATGACCAAATCATCAATGCTGTATTTTGGGCAAGAACTAAATTAATTCTAGTGAATCAAGAGATGAGAAAATTATGCTAGTGCTGGACAGGACACACCTTTAAAAAACCACAGGATAATAATATAACTAGAACATCCTGTGGTGAAAAATGACTTTTTATTTTTTATACCAATGGTACATCAGGTATATGATCTTCTTCTTCTGCCTTTCTATCCCCCAATGGAGCAAAAGCCCTCAACCAACTCACGCCAAGTCATTCTATCCTTCGCCATTACCTGGAGCTCTCCCCATGTCCTCCCAATCTTTCTAACCTCATTCTCCAGCTCTCTTCTCCATGTGTTTTTTGGCCTTCCTTTATTCCTATGCCCCTGTGGGTTCCAATGCAAAGACATTCTAGTTATGCTGTTCTCCTGTTTCCTTAGTGTGTGCTCTATCCAACGCCAGCGTCTTTTCCTCACCTCCTGATCCACTGAAGCCTGTTTAGTTTTCTCCCAAAGTTCTACATTAGTTATAGGTATATGATGCTAGACTCATTTTATTTTTTGGTAGTCCAGTTAGCACTTGGTGGGTGATGTGGTCAGCATCACACCGGCTGCCTTTACTTCTCAGCAAATTACCTGGTAACTATTTTAGTCTGGGCGAAGGCAAAATCAATTTTGAAGAAAGTCATCCAGCTCGATGCAGATTTGAACCTAATGCCTTCAGGCCAGCAGGTGTCTGTCTAGCCACTACACCACTGCGGCTTCCACACTGGAAGGTTCAAGGCTGAAATAATAAAGAAAGACCAAAAAGCAAATATAGAAATTAATAAGACACTGGGAACTAACATGGGGAGTAACTTGGTGTGAGCAAAATGGCAAAGTATCGGAAGATTTGGCTCAAGTTGGTTGAGAGTTGTGCTCTAACTTGGTGATTTAGGCAGAAGAAAAAAATAAGTGATTAACATTTTTTGTTTAGATTTAGAGATTGCCTCTGTTAAAAAAAAAAATTTTAATAGATATTTTGTATTAAGTGAGTTGTATTTTTGATGGTCTTTTCCTCACAGATGGTGCAAAGAAATTGTATATAAGGATGTTCACCCGTAAACTGCACTGGATCCCCCAAAATAAGTTGAAATATCCAGAGATTGGTGAAAATTTAAACCCATTCTTGCAGGAGTTGGCTGCAGCTGCTTTAATTGATTGTGGTATGTGGAGATATGTTATGTTACCAGTTATATTAATATTTATACCAAAAAATCCAGATTCATCAGGCAATGTCATTTTGTTGGCAGGTACTGAAAACCCAGATTAATCAAGCATTGTTATTATGTCCTAGCCCAGTACTGAAAACCCAGATTCATCAACCAATGTTATGCCCTGATCCAGTACTGAAAACCCAGATTCACTGAACATTTTTGTCGTGTCCTAGTCCATTAGTAAAAACCCAAATTCACCAGTGTTTTCATGTCATAGCCAAGTACTAAAAATCCACATTAATCAAGCAATGTCATCATGCTCTATCGCTGTACTAAAAATACTAAACAGTGTTATCATGTTCCGGGTGATTACTAAAAATTCAGATTCCCCAAGCTGTGTTGTCATGTCCTAGCCCAGTGTCTTTCAACCTTAATAATGCCGGGACCCCTTAATACAGTTCCTCATGTTGTGACGACCCCCAAACATACAATTATTTTCGTTAATACTTCATAACTTCAATGAATATATGTTTTCCGATGATCTTAGGCGACCCCTGTGAAAGGGTTGTGACCCACAGGTTGAGAACCACCGTCCTAGCGTCATTATTATGATAGTCCCATCACGCTGCTTGTCATTGGGTCAACTGCTGCTAATGACTGTCTGATCAACTTCTTCAACTTTCATCAGATACTTACAATAGATTCAATGTTTGCATGTTTGAGGCCTGTACAAGTGAGAATGACGGACAAATTAGGGAAGGCAGGAGGCAAATAAAAGTTATATTATTATATATATTTATAATATAAAAGTTAGTTGCTTACCTTTTTTTTAAACAAAGGATCAACATCATGGCACAAGGGTAGTAATCCACAAGTGCTCCATTCTTCATCTAACTCATGTCTGAGCCTCCTTACAGAACATTGCAGAACCAACCCGAACATTTTGTATATATATATATATATATATATATATATATATATATATATATATATATATATATATATATATATATATATATATATATATATATATATATATATATATATATATATTTATAAAAGTGTATGTGTTAATTTTTGTCTCAGATGAACAGCTGACTGACCTGGAGGAGGTACTTAAAGCTTTAGCTGCTGCTGATATTAAGACGTTAGCAAAGTCATATCACATTGCACCCAGTATCAGCCAGAAGGGACAGCTGGTGCCAGAACTTTTGAAGAAATCTCAGCAGAGTACTCTGGCCACTATGTTAGGGTCCAGCGATGGAGGCGTGGCCAAAAGTATGCTAGCCAGGTAATGTGTGTTGGCTTGTTGGGTTAGAGCATGTTCATCTGTTGCAGATTTCAATTCTGTTTAAAAACTGCATGATCAGTTTCATTGCACCAGGTTTTATCTCAGCAACGCATGAACTCTCCACAGCCAGCTCCCTACTGAAATACAGGACCAATGAGGCTGAAAGTATACATCAGGACAGCCGAAAGTATGCATCAGGACAGCTGAAAAGTATGCATAGGGCTAGCTGAAAAAACTCCATCAGGGCAGCTAAAAGATGTGCATCAGGTCATCTAAAGGAATGCATCAGGGCAGCTAAAGGAATGCATCAGGGCAGCTAAAGGAATGCATCAAGGCAGCTGAAAGTATGCATCAAGGGAGCTAGAGTAATGCATCAGGGCAGCTGAAAGTATGCATCAAGGCAGCTGAAAGTATGCATCAAGGCAGCTGAAAGTATGCATCAGGGCAGCTAAAGGAATGCATCAGGGCAGCTAAAGGAATGCATCAAGGCAGCTGAAAGTATGCATCAAGGCAGCTGAAGGTATGCATTAAGGCAGCTGAAGGTATGCATCAGGGCAGCTAAAGGAATGCATCAAGGCAGCTGAAAGTATGCATCAAGGGAGCTAGAGTAATGCATCAGGGCAGCTGAAAGTATGCATCAAGGCAGCTGAAGGTATGCATTAAGGCAGCTGAAGGTATGCATCAGGGCATCTAAAGGAATGCATCAGGGCAGCTAAAGGAATGCATCAAGGCAGCTGAAAGTATGCATCAAGGGAGCTAGAGTAATGCATCAGGGCAGCTGAAAGTATGCATCAAGGCAGCTGAAAGTATGCATCAAGGCAGCTGAAAGTATGCATCAAGGGAGCTAGAGTAATGCATCAAGGCAGCTGAAAGTATGCATCAAGGCAGCTGAAGGTATGCATCAAGGCAGCTGAAGGTATGCATCAAGGCAGCTAAAGGAATGCATCAGGGCAGCTAAAAGTATGCATTAAGGAAGCTAAAGGTATGCATCACAGCAGTTGAAAGCATGCGTTGGGACAGCTGAAAGGTATTCATCGGGCCACTGAAAAACAACACCAGGACATCTGAAAGGTATGCGTCAGGCCAACTGAAAAACTGCATCAGGGCAGCTGAAAGATTGTATTAAGGCATCTGAAAAACTGCATCAGGGCAGCTGAAAGATTGTATTAAGGCGTCTGAAAAACTGCATTAAGGCATCTGAAAAACTGCATCAGGGCAGCTGAAAGATTGTATTAAGGCGTCTGAAAAACTGCATTAGGGCAGTGAGCATGCCCAGTATAACTTAAGATATGTAAATATAACCCTTACTTTTCTTATTACCATGTTTCCCTGAAAATAATAGTCTTATATTAGTTTGCTTCAAAATGCCCTTGGGCTTATTTTCAGGTGATGTATTACATATTTTTCGGATATACAAATTACATTTATTCGTGCACAAAATTCTACATTTATTCAAATACCTATCTTCTACAGCATCATCATAATTCTCCAAATCTTGAATTTCTTGCGACTCTGGCTGACCAGTCGGCAAGAAGTCTCTCATTCTAGCTGACGATTTTAACTAGGGTTTATTCTGAGGGTAGGGCTTATATTAAAAACATCCTGAAAATTGTGCTAGGGCTTGTTTTTGGGGGCAGATTTTTTTTTTCTCCTAGGGAAATGGGGTCTTAGCAACAACAAAATTATATTGCTATTTAGAGGATAGATTAAAAAATACTGTTCTAATTTCTTTGCATTTTTTTTAGGGCCAAAAAGTACTTGAATGGTATTTACAAACTAAAACATGCGCCCAGAGGTGTGTTTGTGAGAGTGATGATGCTGTTCTCCTTGGTGAACACCCTGGTTGACGAAGACAAGGGAACTGGTGGTCAAGGACAATTGTTAGTTTACTTTTGTTTTCACATTTACCTACAGTTGTAGATATTCTTGAGCTGAGTTAAAAACAGACATAGCAGTCAGGACACTCACGATTATGTTCCGCCCCCATCTTCAGCAGCTACCACAGAGTTCCAATGCAGGTGGTGCTGATAGAGGTCTGATTGTGTAACTTTTTCTGTTTTTGTTTTCCCATAGAGTCTGGGGCCCCATTTGAAGGAGGGTAGAGAGAGAACTGACCCGACTGCTCTTTATCTAGCGCATCTTGAAAAGCAACCAATTAATTAAGGATTTTCTTAAATCTGGTGTGTTGAGCTGACAGCCGATCTGTAAATTAAACTACAGCGTGCCAGCCGCCATTTTTAGGGGCAAACACAGAAGAAGAAAAAGGAAATTCTATTTTTTTACTCATTAGTAAATCATTCTTTCCTCATAAGTAAAAAGTAAAGATCCCTTTCCACGCCTTTAGGCATATCGGGCATATGGGAAGAGCGCCAATATTTTTACAGACCATCAGCACTCGGTGGGTAATGTGGTCAGCATTACGCCGGCTGTCTTTACTTTCCCTGGACAGCCCATCCTGATACCCATTTTCGGCTGTGTCAACCTGCAACACCCCATACCATGATAAAAATCCACGCAGCCAGCAGTGGGTTTCGATCGCGGTGCGCTGGATTACGAGTCGGACTCGCAACGCCTAAGCCACGGACTCCGCTCTTTCCTCATAGCTGATAGATTTAGTGAGTACACTTTCTCAGTCCAACTTATGGGACAGTATGTTAGTTCAAAGCTCCAGAGGTGGCCCAGTAGAACTCTTTGATACATTTTAAATGGATTTCTAGGATTGATCGCTCTTGATTTGCATCTGAAAAAGTGGCTCTTTGAGTCATTAAATATCTGTCTGTAAGGATGCAATTCAGATTCCCATTTTTTAATTGGGGGGGGGGGGGGGGGGGGTTTACAATTTCGGCCATGTTCAACCATTCAATGAGCAGCTTTGGTTATCATTGGGGGGAGGGGGGGGGGGGGGGGGGAGGGGCTTTTCAAGTCACTAAGTTTCCTTATTAGTGGTCATGTTATTCATCTTTCTTTGAGGCTGAAATTCTGAGCAGTTTCAGTTATAAATATGGCCTGGTTTCTTTGTGCCAAATGTGTTGGCTAAGATGTATTATTTGTGCCCAGTTTAATGGCTTCAACAGTGTGCTTTTTCATTTATATATAATTGAGTGTCCCTGTTAGTGGTCGTATTGTTCATCTTTAATATCTGGATCCCTTATCTTTTGATCAAGTGGGTGTCCATTTTGCCTGTACAACCTCCTAATTTAGTCTGTAGATGTGGTTTTATGAAGGGATTAGTCTCCTCTATTCTGGTTTAACATATTTGTTGTCAAGTTAGGGAGTTCTGTCATCTGTTTTTGCAGTCCAGTTAATATGAATAAATTTGTTTGTATTGTTTTAATGTCCCAGTGGGAGTCCTGTTTTTGTTTATCCATGTCCTCCTGTTTTGGAATCCTCAGTTAGGCTGTTGTTAATCCAGTTCTTTTCTGCATGCAGAGCACCCCACACAATTACCAAGGATGTCACCAATACACTCCACAAAACGCTGATCTTATTGTTTTAAAGTTCTTAAAGACTTGAAGTTGTAATCCCAGAGGAGGAAAATGTAAAAAAAAAAAAAAATAATTTACCACCTGATGCTAGCATAAATGTGTTGGAAGAAATAAGACAATTCTGGTGATATTGGATGTCAACTGCTGTTGTGTTTACATTTCCTCTGTATAGTAACTGTAATCAATGGTAACCTGACTACTGCTTTTATTTGCATTCCCAAAGGTTTCAGATGTTGATGGTGAATATGGGCAAACTGGTCTATCCAGCCTACACAATAGAAAAGGTTCATCATATATTTCAAGACAGAGAGGATCTTATAAGGTAAGGTTTCCTCACTTGTACAGAAATAAAGGTCCTCCTGTGGCACATATTGTCCTTGGGGTATGGAATGTTAGGTCTTAACATATACGAACTAATTCAAGGCATTAGAAGGTCTTCTCGGCTAGCGATCAAATTCCGTTCCAACTAACAGGTTGAAGTTATTTATTTTTAACACTATTTTCATTAAAATGAATAATAAAACTAAAAAAAAAAAACACAAAAATTCAGTCTGTGTACATAACATTATTGTCAATGTTGAGAAAAATCCATAATATGTACTTTGTTGCATTGGTTCCGGGAACATTTTTACCCTACAAATGTAGTTGTCTTTCTTAATTTTCTTTTGAACTTAATTAATTTTTTATAGTTGTAAGTTGCATAGGTCTTAAGTTGAGGAGAAGGTGTATTAATTAGATGGGAAGGCAGTGGAACAAGTTTGATTTACTGATAAATTTCTTAACACTACAGTACTGCCCATTCTGAGGATTGAACTATGAGTCATTGTGTTGGTGACTGTGTGTGCTAACTACTACACTACAGTGGCTCCTATTACATACATACATCAAGTGAAGTTAACAGTGGATAGCTTTGAAAACAGCTAATAATAGTTTATGCCACAAGTCTTAAATAAACTAACTAATGAGAACATCTTGATAGAAGCTTAACTCATAAAGAGAACTGGTTACTAACATCATATGTTGACAGTCTACATTCTTTGAACATGTCATAAAGTGGTGGATTTAAAAAAATCAAATTTGAAAAAATGTGACTGCAGGAAGAAAGACAATGGAGTACCTACAGAGGAGATACTACACGGTTTGGTACCAGAGGGGTGCATCTATAAAGGGATTATATATATGATGCATTATGGTGGAGAGGTATAGGTTTAATGATTTTAGTTGTGGCATGTTTTTGCTTCTGACAGTAGTCAGCCATTGCATTTTCCTCCATTTGTAGACTGAAAGGATATAAATCCGTGACTTCACTACTTAGTTGAATGTGTGGCTTATCACTGAGTTGCAGATTTCGTTTGGAATGCTTTTTCGCTGCTAAACATGGTTTGTGTTGTAAACTGCAGATTCAGAAAATGGCGAGCGGCCTGTTACCTTATATAATTAATTGCATGTGCAACTACTGTATGTTGTAACTGCTGGTTCCATCGATGATGAACTGCATTTATGAATTGCCTGACTGTTTATTTTAGGACTTCTGTTGGCTGCCTTATGTATTTAACGTGTGTGTGTTTATTGGATTTGCTGTGGGTGTCAATTTGTTTCACCAAGGATAGTGGTGGACATTCTGTGCGGTTTTCATTGGCACAGGAACAGAGCAACTGTGGGGTGGCCTGTTTGCTATGGAAGTTGGAACCGCCATTACCTGATTTCCTATAAACACATGAGTCAGTCTCGTGTATTGTTGCACACATACAAAAAAAATCCCTTGGCATTTGGAAAGCGAAAAGAGTAGCCTAACGACGATGCCTGGGCAAAATTTGAAGCTGAAAATCTACCCAAAGTATTTCAGGATCCTTGCAAGTGCTACAGAGTTCGTGCACTGCACTGAGATTCTTTGGTCTCAGGCTATAGTCAGAAGTAGAACGGAGTACTTATGGGGTACTACACTTGTGTCATGATGTTGATCCATCGTCTAAACCTAAACTTAAACATTAATCAGGAGGCTATAAACAAACAACATGACCAAAATCAAATGGCATTGAGTGTATGCAGAATAAAACAAGCATGTCTTTGCAACACCAACATATATATATAGCACATAATAAAATAAATGTTTGGCTCTGCACAGATTTGAGAATGCCTTACAACTGGAATCAGATCTTCTACACTGTATAGATAGAGGCAACTGGGAGCAAGCCTATGTTGTATTTAAATCTATTGAGAAAGAATGGACTTTGCTTACAGCTAATTCACTTATTGCAGAGTAAGTTATGTTTGAAACTTCATCTTTCAGTGTTTCTGTTCATTTAGTTGTTTTTTGATTATTTACCATTTGATTTTATATTATAGTTAGGGTCTAAAGTAAGATTTTTAAGAATGGGACCTTTTTCACGCTAGGGGTGAATCAGGAAGTTATGCTAGCCTCAAATTTGAATAGAACATTTGGCCATTTTACTACCCAGGACATTGTATAAATTCAGTTTTTGGGGTTGGTAGAAGCCAAGGTCAAGTATTAAGAAATCCATCCTGGTGTGGATTTGAATCCAAGGCGACTTCCGTTTTCAAAATGGCGGACAGCAGCTGTGTTTATTTTCGCTGGCTGTCAATTCTCTCGGATTATTCTGTTTCATAAACATGGACTGTTATTTTATGCGCATTTCCAACGCAGGATATTATGTGTTTTTCGTGATAACAGCGTGTATTGTGGTTGAGCTGTGTCGGGGCGGGATAATGACCGATAGTTTTGGCAGCCTCGGCCACGCTACCTTCGCAATGTTTTGATCGCGGCGGTCCACTCGTGAAGACAGAATCTCGTCAGCAGGGGACTGCAACTGTCTAGAGAGCAAACTTGATAAAAGCTGTCCCCAGAAACGGAATGTGTCAACCATATATTTGGTGGGGAGGAATCGACAAATACGGTTAACTCAATGGCCGAATCCAAGGCCAGTAGGCAGGGGTCTAGTCACTGTGTTACCACTGTTTCCAGGGACTAATGTGCTGGACAGTAGAAACGATGCCACCGTAGCCTTAACTTAAAGAGAGGAAACTGCAGCTGTACTTCATAGTCTTAGAGGAGTGGCAGTGCTCAGGAGTGTAGGTGACTGAATATCCACTGGAATACAAGTGGATAACTCAGCAGAGCAGGCACTCCCCTGTCCTGGCTTTTGTTGGCCATTACTTGTCAAGACAAAGGTCACAAATGTTGAAATACATGTTGAAGCCAGGCTGCGATATCGGAATTTTTTGACCTACCAAATATGATTTAAGAAAAAATCTTTGGTTGGTGCGCCCCCCCCCCACACACACACACACTTATATATTGGAGCCCACAAGGAAAATGTTTTTAGCATAATCTGTTAATTTTGTGTTTGTTGTATTGGTTCAGTTGGGATCCGGCCATGGTCTAACTGCTAGATGCTCGCCTACGGATCAGATTTGTGTGGGTTCGGGTCCTGACAGAGGCCTGACTTTTCTCAAAAATGATCTTCGCTCCCATGTCCACCCAGCCTTGAGCGGGTACCAGTCCTGGGAAGTAAAGGCAGCTGGCATTATGCTGACCACATCATCCACCTAGTGTCATTTGGTCTATAAAATATAGGTCTAGTCCTATGCACACAGTATGCCTACCGGCGTGGAAAAGGTTCCTTTTCTTTACTGTTGGTTCAGTTGTCATTGTTGTTGCTTCCAGATGGAACCAAAAACTGCCGTCATTCCTACGTTGTTACACAGCTACATCAGTTATTCATCGTCTGCTGTGCTCTAGTGTTGAAATACTCCAGCGGCGCAAGGACTACACAGCTGCAGTAGATCTCCTGCAGACACTTCTGTCTGAAACACTGTACAACAGCAGCCACCGGGGTTACCTGTGGGAGCGCTTGGCTTTGAATTTAGATGCCCACATGAAGCAGCCTTTAGAGGTGAGTAAACAGTAATGAAAGACCCTTGTCCACATTTTATGTTTGTGATGGTCATCATTATGTGCCTTTCCAGCTTGTGTAGGCATTCATGCATCTCTACAGATCACGCTCTTTGGTGTTCTGGATCAATTCCACTGATGATATTCTTCCATGCCACTGTCTTAAGCCATCCATAATCATTCTCTCTTGGTCTGCCTTTTCTACCAGTGATCATTCCAGTCGTCACGATCATAGTCTAAATATTTTTATACACCAATCAATAATCAATAAGTTATGTGGGTTTACACCCCAGAACATATCCAGCTACTGATTATAGTTATTAATCCTAATGTTTCAGAAAATTCTTAGTTTGAGAAGAAGAAAAATACTTTACAAGAACTAAACATGAAGAAATCTCGGTCACAAATGGCATGATGATATATCAAGCAGGGAAAATACAAACTTTTGAGAATGGTCTTATAATGAATCTTGGATCCATCAAAGATACAAACAACTGAGAATGGCGAATGAGGAGGAACAATGAAATTCACAATCTGTTTAAATCACTAGTAATTACTGACATCACGATGGCTAGTGTACTATCTGGCATTTGGAGAGAATGGCAGATAACAGAGGCAAAAACTATGTATGCAAAAGGTGTCATTGGGAGTAGACCATGTGTCAGACAAGAAGATGGTGGATAGGCAGACCTGCCAGCACTTGGAGTCACAGACTAGAAAGAGCAGGCCAGTCACAGAGATGAAAAAAGGCAAGGTGATGTCTGCAGCAGTGAACCTCAAGGGCTGAGATGGGTTGGTGTTTTTCTGGCAGGCTGTGATGATAGCGATGTTCTGTAAAGGATCTACAACAAAACGATGAATTAATCATGTAGTTTATGTATATGCATGTATGTATGTGTGCATGATTATGTATATCTGTTTCTGTATATGTTTGTGTGTGTGGTATGTATGTATAAGATTTGAATGTATGCATTTACTATCTATTTTTTTGTGTATTTTACCTGATATTCATGTTGTGTATATTGTTATATACGAACATGCTTTAAGATAAAATACAGTTGCAGTATGAAAAATGAATGTTTGGAAAAGCCATATGTAAGATGACTGCCCAATTTCGGACCCTTTGGAAATAATATTTTTTCGTAGTCTGAATTGAGAAAGAAAAGGATTGTAAGAGAATAAACTGCCTTTCCTAACCCTATAATATCTATCTACATACCCAGTATAGATAAAATGTTAATATTTAGTGTTTCACAGCTGTTATCATTATGCATTGAGCGGTAGCAGTGTTGTTTCTAGTATTCTTGCCTACCCACTCATTAGTCTGGATTTTAACTTACAGCAGTCAACAACCTAGACCTGTCTTCTCTATGCCTTACAGGTATGGCATTTGTCATTACTGCCTTTATGTATTTACCACTTCTGCAGTGTAGGCAGGAGGAGGTCTTTGAGCCTGGGGTTTTAGGGCTGCATGGCTAGAGCAGTTACTGATGATTTTAACATTGGTCTCCTTAAGAATATGTAAATGAGTTTGATTCACCTTGTTCATTGATGCTTGTTTTCCTTCTTTGAAATTACTGAGAATAATATTCATGAGTGCTGTGTATGTTTTCAGTCCTTGGAAGCTGTCAAGAATGGCCTCACAGACAAATTTGTACGGGTAGGACACAGATATGCTTTGTATTTGAGAGCAGAGAGTATCTGTCAGCGTGCAAAGCTGAAACTTCAACATCGGCTAGAAGAGTTTCACCATGAAGTTGTGCGGAAAACACCACAGGTATGTGAACAGATTCAGTCATCTCATATAATATAGAGTGTTAAAATGCAGTTTCTCAACATATCTGCCATCATACATCTTTAACACGCATAAAAATTAAAACTGTCCTACCCAAGGTAGTTAAGCTGTACCATGCAACCACCATACGTCTATTAGTTTTTTGATACATTATTTTTAACACTTTCCACCTCATCTGATTTTTACACACAATTCCTGAACCAGTAGATACATTTGATACTTTAATCCACTGTATATGTCTTGATGCTTCCAGATCTATTCGAAGTAGCCATTTCTTTAATGTAACAGTTGTCTGGTACTGAGTCAGTGACTATAAGTTATGTATGTGAATGGTGTTTGTAATTTGAGATACCCAGTTCGATTCAGCTTGGGACAGTTTGGCAGGAGATCGAGATGATTTCAACAGCGGTATGGAGCCCACCCTGCAGTAAGCAATAGCAAACCACCGAACATACAATTCCTAGATAAAATACAAACAGCCAAAAAAATGCTGGTTCTACATTCTGTAAAGGATACACAACTAACTGCCTGGTGTTGAAAGAGTTGATATGACAGTTTTCTCCTTGACTTTCACATAACATCAGTTTACATGCGATGTAACACTATAAGTAAAAAAACAGACCAGCAATTTTTAACATTTCACAGGAGTCCTTGATTTAAGCGTTAAATGTGCATTACAATAAATGGTAGTAACATAAAGAGAGAATTCATTAAAATATTTGTTATCACTTTTGACAGTAGCCTGTTGTTCAAGTATGATGTGGAAGAAGTAGTGTTAAAGAAAAGGACAGGACTCAGTGCATTGAAGGTGATGGCATCAGTAGATATGGAACAGAGAATGCACCACAAACTCTATTAACTGATTATTTTAGTGATGGAGTATGAGTCTGACCTGCTCACGATATCTAACAGCCAAATAGAGGAGCTAGAATGCATGCAAAATGAAGCCATGCGAGTCATTTTAGAATGTACAAGAGATGCGCCAATTGTATGCATGTGGCACATAATTGGACTGCCGTCCGTATATGAAAGATGCAAGGTGTTAGAGGCAAAAATGTACCTTAAAAGTCGCAGCAGGCAGGGAGCATCTTTAACATGAGTGAGACCGTGGGAGACAGCAAGGGGCATCAGCTGAACAGATTTAGCTCCTGGATGACACAGGCAAAAGTCACGGTCAGAGCTGACAAGATAGCGCATGGTGAGAAATGGGTTACAGTGTCCCCCAGCAAAACAGACTTGCACAAAGTGATATTTACCTATCCGTCACAAATGTGGCTAGATTTGCTACTAATCTAACAACTAAGAAGTAGTAAAATTATAATATATGAACTTCCTCTGGATAGAAAAAAAACTGACACGGTTACTTTTGTTTGAAGTATTTATTACAATTTTTTACCAGGTTTCCATCGAGGGTCGAGTCCTACACCAGGGTGTCAGCACAAATGGAACCAGGTTTCTGACAGAAGAGTCCTATGTTGATGGAAATTCAGAAGATATGACGGTGGTTGGGGTGGAGGAGTATGTGCTAGGTTACTACAAGAAAAATGGTTTTCCATCAGGTATACATATTCAAACACAATTGTTTTCTTATAATAAATAGTCTTCTTATAAACTAATATATGAAAGAGCTTTAGGTAAAGATAATTTATCTAGCTTGAGTTGCATAATAATAGTTTGCTAGAAAAAAAAGTATAAATTTAGCACTTAGAGTTTGGATATTATTCCAGCATAGATCTAAATTCAGAGTCAACTTTATACCACGACATGCATGATTGGAAGTGAAAGAGTAAATAAAGAGGCTGGTTCTACCACTGTGTCAGGGTTGTTTCATGAATTGACTTTGGATACTCATAATAAGTTTGGACTGAAAATTGGTAAGACCAGAAAAGAGATACATACCTAGCATCTGCACATTGATACCAAACTGGCACAGTTAGCTGTGCAATGATGAATTTATTATGGATGAGATTAAAGTTTGCAGTGATGATATGCTGTCTTAAAATGAATTGATTAGAAAGTCAGAATATGAAGAATATGTTGATTTCATTTCTTTGACATCATTTAATTGGTATAAAGTAGTTAATTTGCTATTAACAATTACCGTTATATATTTTACTTAAAATAAAGACAACTTTTATCACTACAGAAATCAGGTTTTTTTTTTCAGGATTCAATCATTTAAAAAAATGACACGTTAAAACAAATTGATGTAAAATGCTGACCATTTGAATTAAGGTGATTTAAAAGAAACATCCCTGCTTCGAGGAGGATTCAAACACATGTCCACTAGCCGGTACTAGCTACTGCACTACTGAATGATTCAGTCATGTCATACTCTAAGATTACACAAAAGCTGGACCAGTTTTAGATAGTCAAATTTTCAAAGATTCATTTAGCGTATGCATATTTATTTAGCGTATGCATATTTATTTTATCATTCATGTCTCTTTTTCAGGAATCCATGCTGAAGGTTCAGTTGTGTCCACCTTGTTTGCTCTCTTTTTCTGGGACATTCTCTTCATGGACATGCCTGATGCCTTTCATAGTCCTTTTCAAGCTCTGCCACTGGATCTGCACAGTGACATGTTTTATGACAGGAGGAAACACTTAATAGAGGAGAGGCTGGCAAAACTTGAGAAAAGCTCTGTGCAGGTAATCACATGTTCTGTTTTGTACAGTTAAAGGACATTACGGCACTGTGGGCCACACTATAGATGTTCCGTCTCATCTCAGCTGTCAGAATATATAGATGAATGTTGATGGTTCCAGTAACTTTTTAAAAATAAACGTTCTCGTGGTTTTCGGAAAGTGGAAGAGATTGGTGCCTCACCACGTAATATTCCCAGTCAGCAGTGGGCGCAGTGAAGCCAGCCTTCACTGTGGAAACAACACACAAATTTGTTTTGTGTGTGTGTGTGTGTGTGCAGTTTTGCTCATGGACCCAAGCAATATATGGGCGATCTTTGACTTGTGTTTTCACACTTCCTATTGTGTGTATATATATATATATATAAATATGTGTGTGTGTATACACACACACACAAACACACACACACACACACAGAGGGAGAGAAATAGTCAATCGCTTCAAACCTCAGTGCTAGTATCCTTATTGACTTTTTATCTGTTGGGATCCAGAATGGTAGAGAGTACTGTGGTTTTTGTTTTTGTTTGGTTTAAATATATCTTGTTTGTCTTTTCCAATGCCAGGAACTTCAAGTTCAAGCAGAGGAAACATGGACCAGCCAATATGGTGTTGTATGTGCCTGCATTAACTGGGACAGGATTTCTCTTGACAGTATTAAGGTATAGTGTCTTTAAACTGTTTTAATCAGGTATATTGACTTCAGGTTTAAACAGAAAAGAACTTCAGGACAGTGGTCATAAAGTAGATCCTTTAGATATATTTGTTTTAGTATTGCTGAAGTTTGTAGTTTTGTTTTATTTATCCTGTATTATGCAGTTTTTTTTTTTAAAGCACTGGAGTTGTTTTCTTTTATTATCACTGAAATGTGTGTTTTTTTGTCCGTTGTGATATGTGCTTGTTGTTATTTTCACTGGGATTTATATTTGTTTTATATTCACTGGGATATGTGTTCGTTTTATTTTCACTGGGATTTGTATTTGTTGTTATTTTCACTGGGATATGTGTTCGTTTTATTTTCCCTGGGATTTGTATTTGTTGTTATTTTCACTGGGATTTGTATTTGTTGTTATTTTCACTGGGATTTGTATTTGTTGTTATTTTCACTGGGATTTGTATTTGTTGTTATTTTCACTGGGATTTGTATTTGTTGTTATTTTCACTGGGATATGTGTTCGTTTTATTTTCCCTGGGATTTGTATTTGTTGTTATTTTCACTGGGATGTTTTCATTTTTAAAATTTTGACTGGTATAGGTCTTTTGTTTTATTTTCACTAGTATACTTATATTTGCATATTTTGTACACTTGCTTCATTGAAAATATCTGTCTACATATTTTGTGGTCTGGTGGAATATATATATTTACATATTTTGTGGTCTGGTGGAATATATATATTTACATATTTTGTGGTCTGGTGGAATATATATATTTACATATTTTGTGGTCTGGTGGAATATATCTGTTTACATAATTTGTGGTCTGGTGGAATATATCTATCTACATATTTTATGGTTTGGTGGAATATATCTATATATTTTGTGGTCTGGTGGAATATATCTATCTACATATTTTGTGGTCTGGTGAAATATGTCTACATATTTTATGGTCTGATGGAATATATCTGTCTACATATCTTGTAGTCTGGTGAAATATATCTATCTACATATTTTGTAGTCTGGTGAAATATATCTTTCTACATATCTTGTAGTCTGGTGAAATATATCTTCTACATATTTTGTGGTCTGGTGAAATATATCTTTCTACATATCTTGTAGTCTGGTGAAATATATCTAGCTACATATCTTGGAATATATATGTATCTACATATTTTGTGGTCTGGTAGAATATAAATTCACATAAATAAACAGAGGGGGAATTCTTGAGGCCATAGAAATATATATATATATATATATATATATATATATATATATATATATATATATATATATATATATATATATATATATATATATATATATATATATATATATATGTGTGTGTGTGTGTGTATATATATATACGTGTGTGTATGTATATGTATATATATGTATATATATAATAAACAAACATAGAGTGTGTTGATCGGCCCTTATAGAAATAAGTAGAAAAATATAATGACACACTTTACAACATAAAAATCACACGCTATAGTTACTGGGCCAAGAATCCAATCTGTGATCTCTAGATGGCGTGTGCGCCTTGTTATGGAAACAAGCATACTAAAAACATGACCAGCTCTGCACCCCTTAAAAAAAGATGTCTTTATTGACCTTGTCAATTGTACAACTTGAAATCCACAACTGTGGAAATAGAAATAATAAATATCTCAATCCATTACTACGTCGCCATATGTTACATACATTTATAATAACTAGGGCTGTACCAAATATTCGCTTCGGGGCCGAATAGTTGCGGTCGAGCCGAATACGAATAGTGGTTACCTCACATCTGTTTCTGGACTGGTGGAAAATGAACACATCAAGATTTCCCACCTTGGCTCATACTGTCAAGCGTTATCTTAGTGCACCACCTACGAGCGTACCAAGTGAACGTCTGTTTAGTACAGCTGGAAATACATTCAGTTAGACAAGAAGCTGCCTTAATGCTGACAACATGGAACAATTTTTTTTTTTTTTTTTTGAAAGCTAATGCCGCTTTCATGGATTAACTACGCTGTCAGTGACAGTTTACAAATTTAGTTACTTGTTATAAAACTCAGAATACTTTCATTCCTAGGTATTAGTTACCACAGACTAACTGACTTAAGGATGCAAAACATGAAATGTTTACTATTATGTACTACATTTTGTAAAGTAAAATTTCAGCGTACATTTGACATTATGGATGGTTTTTTTTTTTTTTTAGATCTATTTTATACGCTATTTGAAAGTGGAAGAATGGGCCTCAGTTTGAATAGTGGGAAGACAGAAGTAATGGTGGTATCAAAGAAAATAATTATTCCTAAATGTGTAATAAAAGTAAATGGTTTTTATTTTGGGACAAGTACAGAAATTAAAGTATCTGGGTACATGGATAACATCAGATGGAAGATGCAGTACTGGAATAAGAAACAGAATAGGACAGGCAAAATCTGCATTTTTAAAAATCAAGAATATCTTATGTAATATATCTTTGTCATTGAAGGTTAGAAAAAGAATCCTTGCTTGCTGCATACATCCAGTTTTAACAAATGGCTGTGAGTCCTGGACAATCGGTAGGCAGGCCAAACAATTTCTTGAGGCCTCAGAGATGTGGTTTTACAGAACAATGCTTAAAATATCTTGGACAGTACCTGATGATGATGATTCAGTATTCGTTTTCGGCCGAATAGTTGGTCCAGCTATTCGTATTCAGCCGAATAGTGAAAATCACTATTCGGTACAGCCCTAATAATAACCAAGCATATTCTTCAGGTATTCTTTAGATGCCACTGTTAATATAGATTGTGTATATTGCGGCTCTGTGGCTTAGAGTTTAGTGAAAATCGTTTCACAATGCAATACTTTATGTTTAGATATCTACACATATTATACAATTTCATATAATATATCTATCCATATATCTTATGTTACATTACAATTTGATTCGTGCATTACCATTGTATTTTCTTGGTCTGATCTACACAAAAGGAACTGTTGAGCTGTATCGGTGGAGAAGTTCTTAGTGGGCTCATAGGACGTTACGCGCGGTGTCCACGGCATACCAGGAGTGGTTTTCCTGATCTGACTCTGTGGAATGTTGACACAGGAGCTTTAAAGGTGACAACTTTTCAAACATGCTATATTAACATGCAGTCTTTTTATAATCACAATTTACTATGCATATATTTCATTGGCCATAAAACCTTTTAAATAGTAAGAAAGGATAGGAAACTGCAGCTATTAAATTAACCAAATATGCTGACCCTGTTGAAGTAATGTGGGTATGATTTCTTAAGGATATTGACAACATGATTTGAGATTTAAGACGTTTGAGTGAACCAATTTAGAACTGTGGGGTCAGACTGCAAGAACAGCAAGTTAAACAGGGTGCCGCCAAACAGTAACACTACGCGGGTAGCCAAAGAAGAAGAATAAACCATTACAGAACTGGTGTCGCTAGCCGCTACACGCTGCGAGATTTACTGAGGAGGGGATCCAAGCACTTATTTGCTGAGTGGTTTGACGACAGACTAACTAACTATAATGCATTTGCTGTTATGGCTACATTCTTGTGTGTGGTCCAGGGCCCCATTTTTTATTTGATTTGATTCAAGAACCGACATCACAGCACTAGAGGCATTCCAAAAGTGCTCCGTCCCCATCTTCAGCAGCCAGCGAAGAGTTCCGATACTAATGGTGCCAGTAGCATTCTGATTAAACCTTGCCTTTCCTCTGAGCCTCGAGCATCTTCCAGAACCTCTTGTCACCCCCAACTGCAACAATCTCACTATACTGTGGTGATCAATCTGCTCCTCCGAACTGTACAAGCTCTCCCACAAGTCACTAACCACGTCTGCCTTATCATGCATCAGTATTCCACCAAGCTGTGCAGAGCCAGCCAGTCTGTCCGCCTGTTCATTTCCCAACACACCGGCATTCTCTGGTGAAAAAATCCAGACAATACTCCTCCCTGCTGTGTCTTCTGCAGCGAGGCATGCCACTCTGCACGATTTTTTTAAGGTACAAGAGAATAGACCAATGGTTGCCCAACAAGCATGTCTTGTAAAAGGTGACCATTTATGGGTTTGCTGAAATCTAGATGTTTTCGGCCAAAAGGTGCAGATATCTCTGTTGTGCCATCAGACCGAAAATAACAGGTATCAGGGGGGAAAAACAGTGTCAGCCATCACATTGATATCTGGTCAATAAATTACCACTTGTTAATGATTGTTTCTTTTATATCATTTTACACAGTCATTTATGTGGATGTGTTTCTCCAAGTTCTTGTTAATAGTGCTTGGGATGTTTCTTTTTGTCCTTTTCTGTTTAATCCCGTTTTGTGTGGGTCTTGCCATGTATTCAGAGTGGTGCCACCTTAAAAATCTAGAAAACTTTGACATAGATGGGTTAGCCAGTTTCCTTTTTCATTGTCTTTCCTTCCCGGATAATTCAGGAAATTGTCTGCTAATTCTGGGAATTATCTAGTACCTTTTTTTTCCCCCCCACTCCAGACCTGAACTGTTTTAGAAACAATCCTGTTATTTCTGGGGATTAAACCTGTTTTACGTCTTGACAAGTAACTGCACTGAGCACTGAAAGTAAAAGTAAAGATCCGTTTTCACGCCTTAAGCGCATTGAGCATATGGGAAGAGCGTCCCATATTTTTACAGACCAATCGGCCCTTGGTGGGTAATGTGGTCAGCATTACGCCGGCCGTCTTTACTTACCCGGGACAAACATCCTGGTGCCCATTTTAGGCTGGGTCGACCTGGGACGCCCCATACGATGATAAAAATCTACGCATCCAGCGGTGGGTTTCGATCGCAGTGCGTTGGAATTATGAGTCGGACTCGCAACGCCTAAGCCACGGACGCCTTACTGAGCACTGTACCAGAGGATGAAATGTTTCAAGAAAATATATTACATACTCAGCTTGAAATTATATGTGCTGATAAATATGTCACTGCGTGAAGTTGGTGTCGAAAATACATTTGTTAATTTGCTAGTGTGGCTCTTGGCGATAAGGGAATGCTGTATTAACAATTTTTATGAATATTGAGTACTAGGGTTCAATTCCCATGGCAGAGGGTTCAGAAACTGTTCTCATGGTATTCAGACAGTAGTACAAAAGATGCATCATAAAAGAGATTAGGTTCTCGCTGAGTGATATTTTTAAAGACACTAATGGTACACAGTAGCCAACCTTTATTACTGAGATAGCACAGACATTTTTAAATCTGATATTCTAATAGTTAAAGGCTTTGTAATCATTGTGACTGTGTTGTGATGTCCTTGTGTAGATTTGTGAAGTAAAAGGACCAGGAGACAGACTGTCGCACAAACAGATCCTGTGGATAGATTATTTGTTGAGCCTGGGTGTTGATGCAGAGGTTTGCCATGTTAAAGGTCAGTTGGTCTTTTTAGTTTACAATTTATAGGGCTGTGTTAAAATGATGCAAATGTGTCGTGTGTTTTCCTTTTGCCTTAAGGCCATCCCATGTTTAAATATTCTGCTGGTAGTATCTGAAACTGTTATGCAGCATCTCATGAAGTTACATAAGTTGCTCTTTAGACTGGTTGCTGTAGTAAAAAATAGGATACACATTGTAAAAGACCAGTTGTGCTGTAGGAAATAAGTCACTGGTGATGATGAGTGAATAACAATCCCAGATCATGTTAAGAAGTCGGTCCTGTCCACATTTCTGGGCCCAGGATTAGAGTAACTTCCCTTGCCATTCATGCCTTCTTAGGCTGGACTTCTATGTTGTAGGGGTGTTATGATATGGGTTGATTTAGAGTTAATTCAGCATATGTAGTGTTTGTGGGAGGTTGTGAGTCTATTTCAGGTGCTACAGGCACCTGTGTTCAAGTAAGGAGTACTGCAGGGGGAAGCGCAGCAGGTACGATGATATTTGGCTGTAAAAACTGGGGTGTTTTTGTATTTCTACTTTTGTGGGTGGTGGCTTCTCAAAAAAAAAAGAAATCAGTTTCCAAGAAGCGTAGAAATAGACAAATATCGCTGTTTCCATGCTCCTGAACCATAGGATAGCAGAACGTTAAAAAAAATCATGCAACCGAGCGGTGAGAAGACGAAAAAAGAGGCAAGGGCTAAAACCATTTACAATACAGAAAACATGACTCCCCCGCAACATAGGAGAGGTCAAGCTACCTATGGAGGCATGAATATCAAGGAAAGTTACCCTAATCTTGGACCTAGAAACATGAACATCACCAAGAAGTCTTCCACAGGTGCAAGTATTTTTACTATCACACATGTGTTTGTTTCTCAAACTGTCAGCTCTAAATCTATATGCACTTCCCCCTCATTTTCATGAATCCATCATAGTACCTGCATCTTTTATGTCCCGACTAAGCTCGAAGCGAACAAAGAGAATTCTGCAAAACTAGTTTTCAGATAGGTATTACAAGTATAAGACAGAGGCAGTAATAAACTTTTGGCCAACTGAGAAGCTTTTTGTAATTATACATACACAAAAAGTGTCACAGTATGAACTGACACAGATATCACAGCCTTGCTTAAAACCACAGCACAGCTTGACAACCATTTTGATAATGAATGCAGAAAGTAGTTCTTGTGTTTTGTGTGTAAAAAATGTGTGATTAATTTGTTTTTTCTCTCCCTCAGCTGTTGCTGCTAAGAAGTTGAAACCATCCCAGCAGTAATGTCACATGACAGAGTGGTTTTGTTCCTGTTGTTACTTATGGCTGTGTTCCTTAAATATTAATGGTGATTTTGATACATACTTTGATGAACAAACAAAATTTTGTTTTCATTTGGCAACTTTCTTGTAACTTTTGTACATGAAAGCTTATTTTATTTTTTGTACTTTTTATTTTTTATTATTGACAAATTAGTAACAAATAAAGCAATATTAAGTTGTCTGTTTTTGTTTTGTTTGTTTTTGTTTAGATATACATATTGTAAATATGTCAATCACAACAGCCAAGGTCAACAAGAATTTTAACAATTGCTCTTTCAAATAAGTATGTGACAAAATCATTGTTTCAGAAAGAAAAATCCTTATTTCCCATACAATATCTGCTTGGATTTGTAACTAGTGTGATTAAAAAATCAGGAGGTGTTCACAAACATTTAAATAATACAGCGTTTTACATGAAAAATAAGCACAACTATCAGCATGGAGAAACATGCTTTCTCACATTCTTTCTTTCTTTCTTTTGTCAAAATCTGCTTGTGCCGCTAGGCGTCGCAGTCTATCAGATGATCGGCAACGGAGCCAGGGCGCGCTCAGTCGCTTCATATGCCGTGATGTTATGAAGTCTCAAGTTGTCCGTGACTCCTTCAATCCATCTTCTTCTTGGTCTTCCCCTGCCTCTTGTTGTTTCGATTTTCATGTTGCATGCTCTTGATGCTGGCATCGTTGGTTCCATTCTCATTAGGTGACCAAACCATTTCATTCTTTGCTTCTCAATAAATTTAACGATGGGTATGGTTCCAATAGTTCTTGTAATCACATCGTTTCTCACTCGATCTCTTCTGGTTTTATTCGCAGCCATTCTCAAACATCTCATTTCACAGGTGGTTAGTCTTCTCTCATGTTTTTTTTGTTAATGTCCAAGTCTGACATTGATAACCTAATGTCGGTATAAAGATTGTATTTATAATTTGTCACATTACCCGGGATAATTCATGAGTAAAAAGTTAGTTGTATATCTTTTACAAATGTTTGCAAACCAATCCCAGGACTTGTTGGGTGTTGTGGTTTGTACCTGGCACTTTTTATATTCAGTAGTTTGCCAATGCTTTCTGAACAGTTGATGCTCATACCAGAAAAGGTTTGCTGCCAAATCACCTCCCATTATTTTAGAATTGAAAAATTTGGTTTGTAACTTCTGAACCATTTAATGTACCCTGAATAAAACTGATCTGTGTTACCTCTGACAGTCTATCATCATCATCTGGTTGTGATGTTTATACATCCTATAGGGCTTAACAACATTAATGACAGGTTACTATAATTTCTGTCACACCTTTAATATTTTCATTTGAAGCCCCCTCATAAAATGCAGCATCGATATAATGTAAATGGCTCAAATAATCCTGCTGAATCTAGTCTATCACTTTCTGATTTCTAAGAGTAGACAAAGCCTCATTCGAATAGCCAAGCAATCCTTCCAAAACCTCATCTGTGTGCTGGCCAAGAAGGGGTGGTGGAGTAGGGTCCACTGTTTTTGTTTCACTGAAACGCACAGCTGGTCCTGCAACACGGATTTTGCCTATCGATGGGTGAAGCATCTCCTGAATCATACCATTATGCTGAACCTGAGAAAGTTTAAATTTCCGTGAGTTTACATCATTTTGAAGGATAGCTATGAAAGCATAAAAATAGCTAAACTAAAATAAAACATTAAGGACTATTTTCAACATGCCCTGGCATATTAAATATATGGTGCTTTCCTTCTGGAGGGGAGTGTCTGTTCAACAACAAGCCCACACAAGGAAGAATCATAACAAAACTCTGAACATCCGTTTTAACATTTGCTTCTATTCTACAAAGACAGAAGCTTCAATTACTTTGTGAATGTGCAAACTACTATAAATACTCTCAAAAATACCCCTTCTCCAGGTCCTTGATATCCTTCGTCCACTGCCCTGCTGGTTGACCCCTGCCTCTTTTTCCAAGAACCACACGCTCTATTTCTATTTTCTCAAACCAATATGCTGTTTAATTTGGCTGAAGGATTTCACACACACATTAATAATGTCTATGAGCCAGTTGCCTTCCCCCAGTTTGTTGTACACTATATTACCCCCTGTGTATACTCTGGGTGTACAGAGCACTTACTTATATTAGTTCATACAATGTCTATGTTTTAACATCAATACTCCTTAGTATCTATAAACAACCAAGTATTTAGGCCTAGGGTGCCTACTCTAATATGCCGCTGCATCTCTCCTTGATGGATGTGCTACAGTCCTGCATACTATAACGACTGGCACACTTGGCACAGCACCAGCAAATACAGTTGTCACTATACTGCCGAGTCAACAATAACTACTTGCGACAGGCAACATAAACTTTAATGTCATTCACAGTACACGTCACAAGATAATGATGATTATTATATGTATGATAATAAATCTCTATTATCTACACGGACGATATAAAAGATTACAATCTTCACTTAATGGACTCCTGCCATTAAACTAAACAGACATTAAACTGTCTCCTGCAAACAACAGCAAATAAAAACCCTCACAAAGAAAATGTTTCTATAAATCCTCATAAAGAGAAAACAGCCAACACACTGTTTCTGCTAACCCACGTCTGACTTCGACGCTAGCGAAAGCTCAACTGCTTGTCCCTTTGTCTTCTATCCCCAGAATTCAATTAGGTCGTATAATAACCTTCGCCTAGGTAACGACTCGTGGCTGCCGTGTGACCTTCACCTGTGCTGTTCCTGCTAGATAACATTTGAACCCTTGGCCAAATAAGATTACAACACAGTTCACCTAAAGAATGTATTTTCCATCTCTTCTTTCATGATAGTCTGTGAATCTGTCTGCTATATTCAAATTCAAAAGACCCAGTTTTCATTTATATAAAACCCACTTCAAGTGTTTACCTGTGGATCAGAAAACACCTGTCCCGTATTGTTTATGGGCCCATATGGAATGCCAGAGTCTTCAAACACATCAAGCCAGTGTGATACAGATTTCTCCTTAAACCTGCAATATCAAACAACTAATCATGAATAGTTAAATAAAATGATAAATAAAGAAAATAAAAATTAAAAAAAACCCTTACTGCCTGTTTTTAACACTTCTAAGGTATAAAAAAAAAAAAGAGGGCAGGGGGTGAGCCTGGGGATTGTGGGTCACATGGCTAGTGCTGTCACCATGGACCGCAGGTTAGGATTTTACAACAGAAAAACTCAATCTTGGCGAGGATTTAAACTCAAGTTTCCCGCCTGACAGCGCGGTATTCTCGTATAAACATAATATAACCTAGAAAAGTAATAATAGTAAACATAACCTACCTATAAACAAATTGAATTTAAGACAAAGAACAAAATACAGTGAATTCCTAACATATATTATATCCCCTGAAAACTCGTCTAGGCCAGTGTTCAGGTTGTCAATGGAAATGCCCTGGTGGTCTGCAAAAACATGTCTGCCTAATCATGTAGCGGCCACATGATTCCAGGCACAACACTGCTGCCTAGATTTGTTAAACATTTCAGCAGCAGCAGCCAAAGATTTCATATTAGTTGAACATTTTTATTTGGTGACATCAATCAGGTTTACCAAATAAATTGCTATTCATTTAACTGTCAGATGGTTTGCAAAGCTGTTTCTACCTGTTTTGCTGGCCTGCGGATGTAAAACTGGTGAAGAAAATTGATCTAGGCAACACAACTGTCTTTTCCAGACAATGCTACTGCCACCATCAGACCCTTGTGTCAGTTCTTAACCCTTTCGGCCGTTACATTTTTTTTTCAATTGACAGTCTTCTTTAAATAATGAACCTTTATTATTCTTTCAAACTTTGTTCTTAGGAACTAGAAGAAGAAACAGAAAAAACTTTTAAGTCTTGGTCAGTTTTTATAAATATCCAGGAGTTTGAAAGACCTAGACAACCGAAAAGACAGGCAAACATGATATCCTCTGCTTCTCTAATGATGTCAAGTTACTAAAAAAAAACTTTTTTTATTTTTTTAAATGGTCACCAACTGATAAAGGGTTGAAATAGGCAGTTTATTTCTACTTGAACGGAAATAATCACTAAAAACAAACGGAGTGAAGAATTAACTGATTTCCTTTCTTTTGACCACTTCAAAAAGTGGTTTTGATCATTTTGCCACCGTCAGCAATGTGATGTAGTCGTGAAACTGTACGTCACTGAATTAAGTTTTTTTTTTTCAAACTATTTTTCAACCCAAATAATATCTTTACAAAATGTAGGGTAAAATATAATACATGAAGTTGTAGCCAGTACCAGAGCTATCATACAGGTGTGCTGGGCACTGTCCAAAGACCAAAACCCATGAAAGTAGGAACAAAACGACTTTCTTTGGAGGGAAGTCTTACCCAGCCTAATGCTACTTCAGTTCCAATGTAATGTTGGTTTCAGTTTTCACAGAGAATATATATACACGCACACACCAGTGTTTCCCAGACTGTTTTGGGAACAATGAAAAAGCTATCCACATTTCTGAGCAGAATTAACTATACTGCGGAGAAACGTCAGCTCATCCTGATTGAGCTGACCGTGCCGTATGAGTCACGAATGGACAAAAGCCATATGTATAAGCTCGAGAAATACAGTGATTTAGCAGCTGGTCTGAGGAGAGATGAAGCGTACACAGTAAGAGTCTTCGCTGTCGAAGTAGGCGCAAGAGATCTCGTTTCCGCTTCACTTTACAATGTGATTAAACAAATAGGCTTACGAGGTAATGAACGCAAACGGACACTCAAACAACTGGGCGAGGTTGCTGAGAGGGCCTCGAGCTGGCTCTGAACACAAAGGAACAACATGGGGGACAGGTCTCGGTGAGCTGGTCCGGGTGTCTAGTGGAGAAGAATTTCTCATCCTGTTAAAGTCCATCGTGTCCGAATTGTCTGCCAGTGTCCTTCTGCCACCTGCTTAAAAAAAAAGTCCAACATGCGTCCGGTAAACCAATCGTAAGCTTGCCACTCAGTCGTTCAGGTATGCAGACTGCTTTAATTATGCTACCGCAACGACTTCTTATCTCACAGTACCTTTTGCAAAGTCACCAATTCGTCTTGTCCCTGTCCGAATAACATCCTGTAAAACATGAAGCAGGAGAAACCAACCCTGAGCTTCATGAACTCAGGTGGGCCCACTCTCTGAAAATGTATAGGAGTTCATGGGCCAAAACATTTGTCAACGAGAGAGGTTACTTCTACTGATGCTCCCCTGTGGAGTTTCTTCTTACAAACAATGTATTGCGTCATCAATTCAAAATTTTATATTCTAGTGATTTGTACGAGTGATTCTGTCACAAAACCTTTACTTACACATCTTTCAGCAAGCCCAGCAGCTGAACTCTGTTCTTAACTCTTGTTTTATTAGTAAGGTAAAGCTCATTCGTTGCAAGCTCTGGGTGTCCTATTAGCTGTGGGGGAAGAGTGGGGGGGTGGGGGGGGGGGGGGGGGGGGGGGGGGGGGGGGGGGGGGGGGGGAGTGTAGGGGGGGGGGGGGGGGGGGGGGGGGAGTGTATTCATTTAATTTAGTTACAATAAAACAAATCTGTTTAAATAACTGCAAAACTATAAATTAAACACTGCTACAGGATAATTTTGTATCAGTGCTTTTCTATAAATGCAAAACATGGTCATTCTCCAAACAGCAAAAGAGAGACACAGCAAACAATCATAGGTTGTTTCAGTTTGCTAAAGCAGCTGCTATCAACCATTCTTGTCTAGTTTAAGTAAAGTAGTAAAGGACTCTTTTGATGCCAGTGGCGCATTGGGGATGCGGCCAGATACCTTCACTTTCCAGGACCTTTGCTTAGGTTTTTTAGTTGGTAAATTTGTATTTTAGTGAAAAGAATTGCTTCATTGTTTATATATATATATATATATATAAGCGACATCTGTGGCTTAGGCTTTGCGTTGTATTTCCAACTTATGATCAAAACCCACTGCTGGCTGCGTGAATGTTTATCATGGTATGGGGCATCGCCAGTCGACCCTGCCTAAAATAGCAACCAGGATGTATGTACTGGGGAAGTAAAGATAGCTGGCATAATGCTGACCACATTACCCACCTAGTGCCAGATAGTCTGTAAAAATATGCTCTTCCCATATGCCCAATGCGCCTAAAAGCGTGAAAAGGGATCTTTACTATATATATATATATATATATAGGCGGCGTCCGTGGCTAAGGCGTTGCGAGTCCGACTCGTAAGCCAGCATACCGCGATCGAAACCCACTGCAGGCTGCGTGGATTTTTGTCGTGGTATGGGACGTCGCAGGTCGACCCAGCCTAAAATGGGTACCAGGATGGGCTGTCCTGGGAAAGTAAAGACAGCCGGCGTAATGCTGACCACATTACCCACAGAGTGCTGATGGTCTGTAAAAATATGGGACGCTCTGCCCATATGCAGAATTTTACTTTTTTTTTTCTTATATATATATATATATATATATATATATATATATATATATATATATATATATATATATATATATATATTATATATATATATATATATATATATATATATATATATATATATATATATATATATATATATAAACCTGATAAATTGAAATATGTCAGGTAATGCACTGTGCAATCTGCTGTTTGTGTCTTCTTTGTTCAAAGTATTATCATCACAAACATAGTCCCATAAACCCAATGTCACTGGGTCACCAGTTGCTGTTAACTGTCTAATCATAATCAGATGAGTCCATCTTTGTTAGTCAGATGCAACAAACTTGATGTGTGCATGTCTGAGGTCGGTCCATTCAGCCAAATTCTGTATCCAGGTCTTTCTTGGTGTGCCTCTTCACCTTCCCTCTACAGAGCCTTGTAGTATCATTCTGGAGAGGCTGAAATATGTTTTTACATATCCATAGCATTTCTCTATCTTTTGACCCAAGTATAAATTCAAAGCATAAGAAGTAAATTCTGTCCACTTGCCTTTGTCATAACTTTAAACTGTGGGTCATTTCCAGCACCAACTACAAAATAACCATCTGAAGCTTCAAAAGCCTGAAATAAAATTAATCACTCATATGTGATTATACATTTTAAAGAAAATATTACATAATAATAATCAGGCAAAGTTTAAACAGAAACCTGTTAGTACTGGTCTATGTAGAGGGTCTCTGTGGCGATGTGGTCAGGTCATTTGCTTCATGCTCTAAAAACATAATTTAGTGCAATTTTTATATTCCAGGAGATCGTCATCAGAGCTACAGAGTTTGTGCTTTGTTTGGTGCTATCAGCAGGCAGCTAGCAGTTTTGCAGAGACAGAGTGAGTTATATGGGACAGACTTGTGTAATGAAGTCAATCTTCTCAACTATAAATTTATACTCAGGATATGGGTGTTTGGTCTATATTGGATATGCTCATGACTGCGGCTAGTGGCTGCCTTTACACTCCTAAATTTTAGTACCAATTTTATGGTTAGATTCCAGTCATTCTAATTCATCCTCAGCATTCCGAGCCCTTGAGGTTCATTGCTGCAGATATCAATTGCCTCCATTTATCTCCATGACTGGCCCTCTCTTTCCAGTTGGTGACTCTAGCTGTTTGTAGGTCTGCCTGTATATTGTCTCTCCACCGTCTTCTTGTTCTGCCTCAAGGTCTTTTGTCGTCAACTCCCCCGTTTATGCAGTCACACTTGTCAGAAATATTCAACTCCCATAACTATTGGATCTTTTCTCCAGGCTATGATATGTTGGGTAATGAACAGGTAGACAGACTGGCTGGATCTGCACCAATGAGTGGTGAACTGATACATGACAAGGCAGATGTGGTCAAGGTACTTTGGGAACAAACAATTTAATCAGTAGAGAAACAAAATTATTATGTTAAAAAAAAAGTAAAGATCCCTTTTCACGCCTTTCGGCGCACCGGGCATATGGGCAGAGCGTCCCATATTTTTACAGACCATCAGCACTTGGTGGGTAATGTGGTCAGCATTACGCCGAAAATTATTATGGCCTGAAGAGAATGAAGCACCTGGGTGTGACCAGAGGGTACCTGGCTCACTACACTCAGAAGAAAGGTAAGACGGACATATAACCAGATTGTGACTGGCACCATCAGTATTGGAACTCTGCACTGGCTACTGAAGATGAGGATGGATTATGCATGGGAATGCCCCAAATGCTGTGATGTCAATTCTTAACTCAACTTTTGGGTATCTAATACAAAACTATTGTCTTAACAAGTAAATACTCCATCTGCTACACCACAACAGTTCCTATATAGATAGCTACTGCATTTTATTACATTAGGAAACCTGACATTTCTTCTTGTATTTGAAAGATCACTTGAATCACTACAATGACAAATCTTCAGGTGGCATCCTAAGGGAGACAAAATGTATATGTATATGTGTGTAGAGTTCACATACTGAGTCATCTATCAGTATGTTTACTGTCTATTATATGTGTGTGTGCAAACACACTATATACATCTCACAATTTTTTTAAATACTGAAGGATGTCTTAATAAATGGACTCTACGCTGACCTTTCCAGAAAACCAAACAGTTTACACACCTGATAAGGTACAATGCTTGGGTGAGCTGTTCCATACCTTTTCCCTTCCTGACCAGCATTCAGATAATTTGAAGCAACATTAACTAGTGAAGCCACCTTTCAGACAAATAAGCCATTGTTTTAACACATGTTCAAGCAATGCATGCAAGATTCAGAAATATCAAAATGTCAGAAATGTTAAATATACTAGAAACTTTGCTTTTATTATGAAGTAAAGTAGGCAGTCGTCAGTACCTGGAGACCAGGAAGTTGTGCCATTGGTTTTGGAAGCAGCATCTGCTATAACTGTAAAGTCCAATGCAGAAGTGGAAAGCCACATAGTCCACACAAAAATGCTGATACTCGTTCTGAGACTGATTTTCTCTCAGACGTCTCCTTTCTATAGCTTGCTGCATTTGGCCTCTTTCAAACTGCACCAGCCCATCTTTCAGTGTCTCCCTCCAAAGGAGTCAGGCTGCAGTTGATCTCTCCCAAGTGTCTGTATCAATGCTGATATCTTTCAGGTCGTATGTGTCCTTTTAGCGTAGCTTTGCCTTTCTGCAGGTCTTATCCCTCTTACCAGTTCACCCTATAGGAGATCCTTTGAAATGCGTCTGGCTTCCATGCAAGAGGCATGTCCTGAAAATGCAGGCGTCTCTGAAAGTACCTTGCTGGCATTCTTGCTCTTTCAATTACCTATTCATTGGGGTCAAAGACAATAAATCAGGCCAAAACATACAAATTTTGAGTTTGAGTCTGTGGTCAGTGAAACCCAATGGTTAGAAACTTGCCTGTCAGCCCTAGAATCTGCATTGAGTCATACATTTTGAGGGGGCTTAAAAAAAAATACTTAATAACCTTGTATGAGTGGAGTAGGGAGTTTCAGAATAATTGCAACTGACTGCAGGGTCACTACTCGGCGTGTCCGACATGAGTGTGAGCAGTCTTTAACAGAAGTCATGCTGTTTTAAAACTTACTACTCCACTTATACACTTACTGGATTGACAGGTATGTATCACCATACTGAACCTTCATTTGCTGATGAATTTCTACAGGTTTCATCTCTTTACTGATCAAAAAATGGATAACAGAACACTGTTCTTTTTTTGTGCCTGTCAAAGTAGGGCAGCCATCTTTTCACTGTCATTATGATGTCACCATGCCCGTCTGTACCATGATGACTCATGCTTAACACTCGTGACGTCCTTAACCCCCCCCCCCCCCCCCCCCTCCCAATTTAGTGATTTATCTTGGTTCTCAAATCTAACTGGCCACAAACACATACAAGATTGCAACAAAGTAAAATCACAAATATTAAAGATCCAATTCTGTTTTGTTTATTCATCCATCATTAGGATGAAAAAAGATAATCAATGACCACGTATATAAAGATGGTTAAGACATATGATTCACGCCAGGAAAGTTTGTCGGCAGTGAAGACAACACATGGAAGAGGAACTAGATACTGGTTTTACCAATTGATTCATTTTAGCCTGCCTCCATGTCTCTGTCACAGCAACCCCTGCTGCCTGGCAGGCCAAGACACTGTGTTTCAGGACTGTAAGCCATTCAGACAGCAAGTGAAATGGTTTGCCCACTTAGAGAGAATGCCTTGTGACACCATACCATACAAAGCATACATGGAAAGAGAAGAAGGACGTAGAGCAAGGGGTAGACCAAGAACAAGATGGAAGGATAACATTAGAGAAACTCTACAACAGCACGATGTGCCTATGGTCGAGGCAGCCAGAAGAGCTAGAAACAGAACCTTATATCTCCCTCGACACCCAAAGCGGTAAAAGAGGAAGTGAAGAAGAAGAAGAAGAAGCCATTCAGACAGATCTGATACAACAGCCTCCAATGTTACAGAGTAACTGCTGAAAGACCTAAAAGAGAGCAGTTTCAAGTGTCCTTTTGCTCCGTTCACTATTGGATCTCCCATGCTGTAGTTTGCCATAAAATATTCTCGGTGGAAGCCGATGGGATAGTATGCGGGCTAGGTTATCAGCCCAGTGGACATGATATTTATTTATTAATCAAGTGGATATTTGGCAATAAGTATTGTGCAGATATTAAAATAAAATTGCCAGGCTCTACTCACATTTGTTGACAAAAGATTACAGTCTATGTGTTGTCCTCTGCCAGTTTTTTGCCTGGACAAAACTGATGCCAGAATGGAACCTACAGCATACAGTCCAGTTGAAAGGTCTGTTATGGCCACACCAACCTTGCAGGGTTCTCCATCCTTAGTTTAGACATCCCAAAGATGCATTATTACAACATATTCAGCGCTACACAACTGATATAACCTCTTTCAGTCCCAAGGAACGCATCCTACATTCACAGGTTCCAACCTAGAAGCCTAGCGAACACCGATTTTACATCTGTCTTTAGCCCCTCTTGGGCCTCTGATGCTAAACCCCCTGGGACTGAAAGAGTTAACACACATGTGTTATGTTATTACACCTGATGTAATTACCTATCACACATTCATATGTGTGTTTAGCAGTCATTCCAATATACCTACCTCTCCTGACAGTCCCTATATAAAACCAGTTATAATATCGACACCTCACAGACAGCATGAACATCTTGTGCCAGCTTGGCTTGGCTTTACAGACTTGTCGGTGTTTACCAGCCTAGTGTGTACAGCATTCATTATTATATCAGTTTTGTCTATGCTTCTTCATGCTTGTATTAGTGACTTACCAGTTAGTCCATTCAATAATAGCCCCGACATGCCCAAGTAGATCCAGGTGAGGGAGGTGAAATGCAAATTCTGAATGCTGAAACAGAGATTCCCTCCTGACTATGTTGCCTGATGAGTGCTGCTTTCCTTTCCCAAACCCTTTGTGCTGTGTATGCCCAAGCAACCTTGATGTGTGTAAATGATAAAATCTTCTAGACGTGAATGATGATCTATAAGTAAAGTAAATTTCTCTTTTTACACCTTTAGGCGCATCAGGCATATATGAAGAGCACCCATATTTTTAGACCAATCGGCACTAGGTGGGTAATGTGGTCAGCATTATGCCCGCCGTCTTAACTTTTCCGGGACATACATCCTGGTACCCATTTTAGGCTGGGTCGACCCGTGACGCCCCGTACCATTATAAAATCCATGCAGCCAGCAGTGAATGATGATCTATAAGTCTCCTCATCTCAATGTCCACAGCGGTGGGAATCTGGTCCTTGCAATCCCTCCTCATTTTGATGACAACATTAGAAATATTACAGCTGTATAAGTCCATTCTTCTCTGTTTCTGAACTAGTCTAGGTCAGATAACTGTTGGTTAAATCTTTAGCATTTATCATCCTGGAAAGGCCTCTTTTGAGACACACTCCTTTTATGTCATTGATATCACTGTGCAAAGAGGGGGTGGTTAGTATCTGCTGATAACCCTATGTGCATTTCAACATGTGCTATTTTGTATCTGATGCCATTGTTGGTAAGCCGAGGACATATCATATGGAGGGGCATGAGGTGTAGTTTGTGCAGCAGAGTATGAGTTCTTATGCCTTATTTTGAAACACTATCCAATCATTTTAGCCAAGTGCTGCTAACAGAAGGTCAACAAAAATACTATCTTACAGGTCTAAGAAAGATAGCAAATGATATCAACCTCCAACAAAATCAAACCGTAAACAATTATGCATTTTTATTTGCTTTCCTTCAGGCAACCAGCAAAATACTAAATTTAAAAAATAAGTTTAAAAAAATGATAGACTAAAACATAACGACAGTTAACTGTGACAGACTATAAAACAGTGACAGTTTACCTGTCATAGTTAATTAAATAGTGACAGTTTAACTATCATAGACTATAACATAATGACAGTTCAACTGGGACAGACGATAAAACATTATGGAGAAAGAAATGTAACACTTGTACTGGTCACAGTTTGGTAGGAGTAAACACTTCATTTATAATAAACATATGAAATACAGAAAGTGTTTGTGATTTACAGTATAGATCACAGTAAACCTGATACCATTTTATAAGCTATCAGAAGTAAACTGTCATTATTTTATAGTCCATCACAGTCTAACTGTAACTATTTTATAGTCCATCACAGTTTAACTGTAACTATTTTATAGTCCATCATAGTTTAACTGTAACTATTTTATAGTCCATCATAGTTTAACTGTAACTATTTTATAGTCCATCATAGTTTAACTGTAACTATTTTATAGTCCATCACAGTTTAACTGTAACTATTTTATAGTCCATCATAGTTTAACTGCAACTATTTTATAGTCCATCACAGTTTAACTGTTACTATTTTATAGTCTATCATAGTTTAACCGTAACTATTTTATAGTCCATCATAGTTTAACTGTAACTATTTTATAGTCCATCAGAGTTTAACTGTAACTATTTTATAGTCCATCAGAGTTTAACTGTAATTATTTTATAGTCCATCACAGTTTAACTGTAACTATTTTATAGTCCATCACAGTTTAACTGTAACTATTTTAGAGTCCATCGCAGTTTAACTGTAACTATTTTATAGTCCATCATAGTTTAACTGTAACTATTTTATAGTCCATCATAGTTTAACTGAAACTATTTTATAGTCCATCACAGTTTAACTGTAACTATTTTATAGTCCATCACAGTTTAACTGTAACAATTTCATAGTCCATCACAGTTTAACTGTAACTATTTTATAGTCCATCACAGTTTAACTGTAACTATTTTATAGTCCATCATAGTTTAACTGTAACTATTTTATAGTCCATCATAGTTTAACTGTAACTATTTTATAGTCCATCATAGTTTAACTGTAACTATTTTATAGTCCATCATAGTTTAACTAACTATTTTATAGTCCATCATAGTTTAACTGTAACTATTTTATAGTCCATCATAGTTTAACTGTAACTATTTTATAGTCCATCACAGTTTAACTGTACTTATTTTATAGTCCATCACAGTTTAACTGTAACTATTTTATAGTCCATCACAGTTTATCTGTAACTATTTTATAGTCCATCACAGTTTAACTGTAACTATTTTATAGTCTATCACAGTTTAACTGTAACCATTTTATAGTCCATCACAGTTTAACTGTAACTATATTATAGTCCATCACAGTTTAACTGTAACCATTTTAAAGTCCATCACAGTTTAACTGTAACCATTTTATAGTCTATCACAGTTTAACTGTAACTATTTTATAGTCTATCATAGTGTAACTGTAACCATTTTATAGTCTATCATAGTGTAACTGTAACCATTTTATAGACTAGTGAGTTAAACTGTCACTATTTTATAGTCTACCACAGGTGAACTGACACTGTTTAGGAGGTCAGATATAAATATATTAACTTGCAGCAGCATTTTTAGGAGTTTGGAGGGGCAGTGTCATTTGAGCTAAATGGATTTTTTAAAATTACAACTCAAATTTTTGGGACCAGAAAGAGAGTGACTTCCCTTCCCATTCTTAAATGGCTGTGTCGGTGCATATAGTCGTGCAACCTAGGCAGCATGCAGTCACAGGACGTAGGCTGCACTCTCTCATGGGACAAAGGGTGCACTCTCTCGTGGGATATAAGGGTTGGGGTTATGGCACATTTCTACATGTTTTGAGACTGTTGTTGGATGGTCATTAAGTGTGACACCCCTGCAACACAGCACAAGCAAGGTGTCACTGCGCTTTATGAATGGGAAGGGAATTTACTCTCTGTCAGGGCCAAAAAATTTGAGATGTACCAATTTTTTTTAATGGCTAGTTGACGTCAGATTTTCTAGTAAACCTCAGTGATAGAGGTCACCTGATACATGTACGGTTTTGAGGCCCTGGGAAAATATTCAATTTAATGTTTCACCTTTTTTCTGCAATTCTAACAAGGTCATGACATATTTTTTTTTAGTGTTCCTGGAGCGAAAGGGCATGAAAAGAAATTAATTGTGCAACAGTGAGTGATACAGTGATAACTGATGTGTTCACTTACAGCTGGTCCAGTGATATACATAAGGCCACCAATTCCTGACACAATCACGTCATAGCCAGCCCGGGTGGCATACTTGCCAGTCTGACCATACCCTTTCAGAAAAGAAAAAAAGACATAGACAGGTGATCTGATTTACTGAACAGAACATAATTTTCCGGGAAGTTACCCTGGTCAACAAATGCTCGGTAAAGTTGGATCTGAAAGGCCCAAACATCACAGCTTTGCCGAAAACAGGCACAACATAATTATGTTATGCAGATGAACAAAGAAAAATGGTCACAAGTTTGACATTCGAAATCTCTGTAAATTATTGAGTGAAAATGTTTAAACTGCATCCAAGAATACCTTAGGGTTTCAACCAATCAACTGAAAGGTTTTCTGCATTTGGGTCATCAGCAGTTTTTAGGCGTATGGGTTTTCCAATTAACTAAAACATGCCATCAGATAACTGCATTTTTTCTTAACAAGGCAAGGACATTGATCAAATTGAAGTAAAATATGCAAAGGACCCTCTTATGGCCACTAGTACATCAGGCACAAGATGCTAAACCCATATTTTCATAGACCCATTGTGACAAAACGGGAGAAATATTTCAGTCCGGCAAGAGTTAATTGCAAGTTTTAGTTAAAAGAATTGCGCACGTAAAATAAATATATTTAAACATAGACGCTAAAAGAATAAAAAGGTACGAAGGCGCACATAATTTATGACGTTTTGTGATGTTACTAGGAGATCTAGTTTCGTCACAACACAGAACGATTGCCAGCCATACCATCGGCCTAACACCCACAATAATAATACCATATACGAGTTCAGGTGAGATTTATAATGGTAGGGAGTAGCTGAGATCCCCTATAAGCCTTAGCTGTATCCTAAAATATGTTATTGAGATCCTACTATTCTATATTCTACCATTGTATAAATATTCCGGGACTTCATCAACCTTGATACTTGTCCGTTGAACAATTCACTAGTCCTTACCTATTATGACGTTCTTAAAGTTACTATTCACCGTTAGGACTATGCAATAGCTAACCTTCCTTCCCTCTGTCATCTTTCCAGAAAATATTCATTCGGTCTACTTGTGTAAAGATCTTACAATATAAACCATTATCCTGTGCCATGTGGTATCATCAGTAGGGTATACATTACATTGCTTATGTTTATTATATTATGCAACATATAATTTGAGTAAAAGTCATCAACTTTGTGGGCATATCGGGTTGACCTATGTTTTATAGACCAAGTGGTACCTAGATGTTGATGTGGTCAACATCACACCTGCCGCCTTTACTTCCCATTACTATACCTGGTGTCTGTTAAGGCGAAGTCGACCTGGGGTTTGGGACTCGAACTAATAACTGTCCAATCCGCAGGCGAATGTGTGTCCGCTTAATTATGTCAAGTTTTATATGATCGTGCCATAAATTAGATAGGTATAAACCAACATAGTATAATAGGGTGGAGATGTATAATTTTGATTTACTTGTAGAGAAAGACAACATATGAACCTTGATCTTTCTTTCTTTTAACTCTGACAAACACCACAGACACCGCAACACCTCCACCTGCCCCAGATGTGTCGACATAATGCTCAACACAGGGCTGAATGATGTATTCCGCAGGTTCCCGTGTTACCGTAGTCCTGCCTGCCGGGTTACCAGAGGACCATAATCCCGTGTTACCGTATTCTTGCCTGCCGGGTTACCAGAGGACCGTAATTCCGGATTCCGGTTGGCCTGTTTGCCTAGTTGCTTGAAGAACGTGAACCATATTCATAATTGCCGGGTTATCAGTGGACATTCCTCCAAAGGAAACTACATTTCCGCTCATCAATACTATCGGCCAGCTGAGTGACATTTGATGTTTGTTCAGAGTTTTGTGGTGTACATGATGACACCGTGATTTATTTTCTCTGTGTTAATTTGAAAATTGTTGAATTCAATATCATTATTTTATCAATACAGTTGTTATTTAGAAACTCCATTTATCGATTTCATCCTATCAATTTTAACTTCTTAGGTAAACTAAAGATTGTTCATTGCAATTTAATTGAGTTAAATTTACAAAGTTTTGACTTTGGTTGTTTTCTGAATTTCTTTAGGAAATTTCCGGGGATTCACCCTATTCTTTAACTTTCTGTATTCTCCTTCCTCTATTTTCCAGAACTCAGGGACCGTTATAATTCCCCTAGACTTATTTAATTCGAGCCCTGTAAGTTATTTGGAAGGATATAGGGGATCTCCAGGCGACGATAGATTCCGCCAACAATAGTTGATTACACCCATCAGCACTCAGTGGGTGATGTGGTCAACATCCTGCCAGCCAACCCATTTTAGGCTCAGTCAAACTAGAAAAAATATGCTAAAAGTAACACATTAAACAGCACCACAATGTGTTTATGGTCCAAGCAGCAAGAAGATCATGGAGCAAGACCTTATATCTCCCTCGACACCCAAAGCGGTAAAAAAGGACAGAAAGAAGAAATAAGAAGAAGAAGAAGACTCATTGAAAATAAAGCAAACTACACTGTTAACAGAGGCTGGTCGTGGATCGGAAGGTCGTGGGTTCGCTCCCTGGCAGAGCCGGACTTTTTTCAAAAATGACCTTGGCTCCCAGGTCGACCCAGACTTGAGTAGGTACCGGGTGCAGTCCCAGAAGTATAAAGGCGGTCGGTGTGATGCTGACCACATTACCCATCTTGTGCCGATTGGTCTATAAAATATGGGTCTAGCGCTATATGCCCTATACGCCTAAAGGTGTGGAAAAATTCCTTTACTTTACTTGTACTTACTTTACACAGTTAACAAAGAATCTCACCTGTGATAGAGCAGTAGATGAGGTGAGGAAACTCTGCATGCATTTCTGGGTAGCCGAGACCCATTTTTGACAAAGCTCCTGGGATATAATTTTCTACTAACACATCACTGACAGCAGCTAACTGGGGATAAATCACACTGTGAAAAATGAACACTGACTTGTAGTTTCTTTTTCACACATAATGTATACCTACTGTATTTTTCCATGTATAAAACAATATGTTAACCCAAATTAAGGGCCATCTTAAATAAAGAATGTGTTTAAAATATTTCTTTCTTAATTTTGGGCATTTAAAAAAAAATAGGGGTCATCTTATACATAGGGGGTCGTATACATGGAAAAAAAAGGATATATGTGCATATTACTTTTTTCCTAGCAATATTACGTGTCAAATAATAGATGGTGGCAGTATTTATATACAATTTTTAAAAAGGATAAATAGGAAGGCTATAAATACATTCAAGAACACAAAAAAGAATTATTTGCATGAAGAGATATCCACTTGTTTGTTTGTTTGTTCAGTTTGGGAGAGTGTTTGTCTATTTATATGACTATAATAGTATCTAAGGCTTTTAGTTGACTTCATTACAGTTTATTGTCTGGATTGCCTACCAGGTTATGATAAATAGACATCCAAATAGCCAAGTACTCCAAATACTCAAGACTACTGTATGGTACAATTTTAATCTTTCAGGGAGGAAGTAAAGCAATTATTATATTATTTCCCACAAATAATGATGTAAAAATAAGGTCAGACAGATGAGAAACAAATCTCTAATGACTATGGAATTAACCCTAAAAGAATGGTAAGCAAATTTAAGTGGCTGATATTTTGAGACAATAATACTGAAAGATCAGTATTTGTGACTGCTAATTTTCATCAAACTTTGATAAATTTTTTTTTGACTTTAATCAAACAGTGTACTATTTTCATAATTCTTCTTTATCTTCTTAGCGTGCACTGGCTGTAAACTCCAGCAGAAAGTTCTTGGTTGTTCATCCGCTTCTGAACTTTGGTCTTGTTCCAGAACTTTGACTTTTGCATGCACATCCATTTTACAGATATGGCTTATTTGTTTGCAGACTGCTGGTTCATTATCTTTCCTGCAGATGCACTCTGACTTCAAAGGAAACACCTCAAAGAATTCGACTCTTATAACATGCTTGTTACAAGGGTAGCTGATCCATTATTTTTTATATAATTAAATTTTTCCTCCTACAATAGACTTGACCCCAAGACCTTTGTCCGCGCAGGAAAACATCTGGCAACTATATTACTGCAGCTCAAGAGGTGTGGAAAAAGGCTTTTTAAATTTTTTTAAAACTGAGTTCGCACATTTAAAAAATATCCATGTTTAAAATGACTATATTCGAAACACAAGTTCAATCGAGACAACTGAGCATGTACAGTGTAAATCAGCCATTTCATACACACAATGATCTAACCTTTTTGATCAGTTGAACTCCTTCTGGCTTCTTCATATCAACTGTAATACTCTGTAAGACCAGAAAAGAGTATATCTGCTGTTAGTAAATTGATACATACAGACATGAACATGCGCTTGTGCACACACACAAATACACACTAGAACGCATGCACTTGCACACCTGCATGCATGCACACACACATTAACGTGCACGTGAGCATGCACACGCGAGCACATGCATGCATGCATACACGCACGCACACACACTCACACTGGATCGCAGCAGCACTCTTCAAAAGAACACTGTCGCTGTGATGCTGTGCTTGGAGGCATTGAAACCTCAATGTGTCTGAATGATCTTGCCCCAGGGATCATCACAGTCGTCTGTTCTCTTCAGTGTGCATACATCAGTAGTCACCAGTGCACAGTTAGGTGGTTGAGGCAGAACAATGATGATGTCCTTGCTTGTCTTCGAAGAAGAAAGAGGGATGAAAGGATAACAACACCACAGCATGAGTTAGACTCAGTGAGTGGTGCCAGGAATCAAGAGCAAAGGTAAACCTGGCAAAGGCCTCTTTAACATGGTCTCCCCTTGATTACCCACAACCTTGTCAGTACACCCGCCGTGAGCATGTTCGCTGTGGACATCAAAAGACAGAAAGGAAACAATACCTGCGACCACAGACACCAAGATAACAGCACTGACTGATCAGTATTCACGCCCAGGAGGCATCATCATTTACACAGATGTGCCTGTGAAGTGCAGATCAAGGTCAGCATGGGCAGACACAGCACAAAGGAAAAGAATAAAGAGGATAGTGTTGCTTACCAGTCAACTATGTCAAACAAGATCATACAGATAACCGCTGCTGCCACAGCACTCGCATGGGTTGCAGAACAAGTTGTAATTGTTTCACTCTACGAATATACTTCAGAAATTCACAACAGATAGTGTATGCTCTGAATGGGTAGAAATCATTCAGAGGTCGCAGTTAACCTACAACATCTGGATTAAAAACACCTGATCGTGCAGGAGTCAAAGGTAATGAAACAGTCGACCAGCTGGCAACTAATGCACCAATGAAATGGTTTATAGTTCATGCACCAATGAAATGGAAAAAAACATAGAGCTTACATCATCAATGCTGTACAGACTTTATGGTTTATAGTTCATTAACCATAGAGTCGATACAGCACTGATGATATCAGCTCTGTCTGGGGAATCATGATGAAACTCTGACGTCAACACCATTCATTGCATTACCTTGGACATAACATCTCCCATGTGCTATTTAGACATTCAGTTACTAAACATGTGACACGACATGATAACTTCTTTACCTTCTCACTCCTCTCTGAACAGCCTTAGTGTGGGCTGCAGACAAAATGATTTTCATTGCCGCTGCTATTTCAGTAATGTGTTTAAAAAAAAAAAATAGGCTTTACCTATTCTTCTCCTCCTCCTCCTCCATGTTCTTTTTCTTCAGCATTCTCATTCCTTTTCACTGTTGCGAATGTTACTCAACTCCATCTGTCTCTCTGAGTGGCCTTCTCTTTCCAGCTGGTGATTAGTCTGCATATATATTATCTCTCCACCATCTTCTGGCCTCGTGCTCTACTATACAGCTCTTTTGTGTAAGTAGTTTATGGTCTGCTTAAACCTTATCTAAATGTCAATGCTGTCTGTTGTCGGCTGATCTGGTGTAACCACATGACTGAATGAGATAAAGGCATCACCTAATGTGACTTAATGATAAGTAAACTGGTATTTAGTTTACAAAAAATTATTACTGTGTTCACACAATCAAAACTACTTTTTGAATCAATGGCTTGCAACTGAATAATTTCAGCAAACAGATTAACATCTATCCTAAAGAACAAAACATAAATGTACCTTCTTGTTGCGATTCACACACAAGTAGTAGCAACTTTCTGATCCCATAAATGGTGGACCCCAGGTTCTAGTATCATCACCAGTGCCTGTAACATTCATGACTCAATGCTATAAATTTAACTCTTTCTGTCTCAAGGTGCTGACACATATGTAACAAAGGTCTGTTGAAAAAGTTTTAATTATTTCTGTTCCAAACAACACATGTTACAAAATTAAGCTTTCCTTATGGATCCCAAGCGCTGTGTAATGAGTTTTCTTATTTTCAATTTGGTTAAAGATTGCATAAGAAATCTGGCTTCTTCAATGGCCAACTACAGTATATTTAGCCTTTCTGATAGTCAAATATTCATGATTTCTCATAACCATCATTAACCCCTCAAGTTTCTACTGCTATGCCTTTAGGGACTGAAAAAAGTTAAAGTAATAACTCTTATGTGAAAATGGAGTTAAGGAAACAAATTTGAATGTAAGTGTACGCAGTATTAACTGTATGTGATCATATGACAACAATCACTTTTCAACAAGCTAATTTTAGGAAGTGATATCATGATTTTCAACAGTAATTGAAACGCACTGTTTCATAAAAACTTTATATTTCAACACACAAACTGCTAGAAGTGACTTGCAGAAACACAACGAATGAACAACAAACTTTATTTTAAAAGGGTTACAAATTGGGCACGCAAGCCCGTCGTACATTCAATCCTTCTAAGCACTTATCTTTCAGACTATAATTGCATGTTATCAGTAATGCATGTTATGTTTATATGAACATATATATACATAATGAAATCATGCATTCACACATCATGTATACATTCCGAATATACATGTACACATACACTCGTATACATCCATATGTACACAAACACAGGCACACCCATACATATACATACATATACAGACACTCATTCATACACCCTCATAAAAATCATACATACACTCATGCTTACATACACATACAAGCATCCACACTCATGAGTGCACATACATACACTCAAACTCATATATATATATATATTTATATATATATATATATATATATACACACACACAAAAAAAAAACTTTATACACACATGCACTCATACATATACAAGCACAGATCCGTACACATATGTGCATCCACATGCACTCTCATGCATGCATACACAGATACACATTCACACAAATACCCATACACTCAAATATCCACATACATACACTCATGAATAAAAACGCATTCCTACATACACACCTAATATATCCTAACCTAAAAACATATACATACATATGTTGACATTTATAAAACCACAAACATTAATAGATATGTGCACTTATACACACACAAACACCTACACACTGGAGTATAAGACATATATCTGACTCGACCTAGACTTGTAGAGTCTCATTTAGTGGAGCCACCCTAAGTGGAGTTATGTAAATGTGATGTATTTAGAAAAACAAAAAACTGATGTTAGCATCATTATAACTGAATGTTGAATTAGGAATCCAACATCACAGCACTTTGGCTATTCCCATAAGCGCTCCGCCCCCATTTTCAGCTGCAGAGTTCCAATTCCGAAGGTACCAGTAACTGTCTGACTGTACATCCGTCTCACCTTTCCCTTGAGTGTTGAGCACAGGCCTCACCCTGACCACGGATAGCAGCGCCATTCTCCTCAGACCATGATAATCATCTAATTGTGCCTCCGCACTACTGCTTCACTCCTGAAGGACCCTTATAACATCTGGCTTATCATACATCAGTTCATTACAAACTGGTGCAGAATCAGCCAGTCTGTCTGTCTGTTTATTTCCCACCACACTTGCATACCTGGAGAAAATATCTAAAGGATGTTAACTACCCAGGACCTCTGAAGTGATGCTTGGATACCTACTACATTTTAAGGCATGAAAAAGGGATCCTTTACTTACTTTTTTATTAAATTTGGATACTTTTGTTTGTAAAAACGGTTCACTGTTGTATGAAATACTGAAAGGACTATTTTCATGCAATTGGCAAATCAAGCGTAAGTTGTTTGGCCCATATTTTTACAGACCAGCTGGTATTCGATCAGTGATGTGGGCAGCCAACACCATGCTGGTGACCTTTACTTTTCTTCTTCTTTTGTCCTATGGCTTATGCTATAAAGTGTTGCGGAAAGTAGTTAGATGTAGTTTCCTGTCTTCTGCTATTTGCGTAGCTGGTGTTAATGTCATACTGTGTTTCTGTAGTGTCACTTTTACTCCCTCAACCCACCTCTTTGTCTGGTCAGCCTCTTGCCATGTAGCCTGCTGTTCTTATGTAGTATGTATGCTCTAGTTGCTGGTTGATTTTATTCCACTCTGACCAGATATCTAAACTATTTAATTCTCTGATGCTCTGTGAAATCATTTACTAATACTGTCCTACCTATTGCAGTTTTTAGTTCTTCACTGGTGACTGTCTCTTCTTAGTTTTCTCGCCAAATTTCTCATAAATCTCTTCTCATTTTGCATTTATGTTTGTCTAGGACTATCTATGTCTGGCACTGATAGCACATAGCTGGTAGGAATAGCGCATTTATCCGCTGCTTTTATGGTTGCCTTTTCTTCCCACAACATTTCCTAGCACCAATTTTAGCAAGGGTTGACCTTGATGTCTTGGTCAATTATAAAAATCTTCCTGGGTCCATACTCGATCCTAAAAACCTTCAGGCCGGCAGAAAGTGACGCACTACTACAGATTCCTTCCGAAAGTACACCTAATAATAATAAAGGAACTTACCAGGTTTCTCCACTTTGATGACCTCTGCCCCCATGTCTCCAAGAATCATTGTACAATATGGGCCTGCCAGAATTCTGCCACAAGAATGTTATAGTAAAATACAGTCAGGTCTTGCCAATTGTATAATCAAAAAGAACAACAAACTTTAACCCTTCTACCCTGAGAAGCTTAAAAATCAACACTTCTGGATGCATCCGATTCCCCATCAATGTTACTTTTCTGATTTGCCTATGGTGACCAGTTTACGAGTTGGGCAGTTAATGCTATAGGCTGTTTTTGTACCTGCTCAAACATCGAGGTCAAGATATGAATACATTAACTAACAATAGCACTGGGGGGGGGGGGGGGGGGGGTGCGGGGGGTCATTTGAGTTAAACTGATTTTTTCTGATGATTTTAGGCCCGAGGTAATATCTTCCATTTATTCCTTCACCCAGTTTGGGTTTACTGATTACTTCTTTTATATATCTGTATATATTTTGGAGAAAAAAAAATGTACATAAATATGTTTTTATAAAATTATTAGTGACATGTGTAAGTGTTTTAAGTGTTCCTGGAGAGAAAAAGTTAATCTTAAAAATGCAATGTTAATTATCCTAAAACACAAACATCATTTGGAGAGAACAGCAATGGAAGGTATGAAATTCTAAGAGGGTCATGGTCTAGTTTTTTTACAAGTGTTTCCAAAGCAAAAGGGTTAATTTTAAAATTTAATATTATTTATTCTTAAAAATAAGTATCATCTGGAGGGAACAGTAATGGAAGGTATGGTTCCTGGAAAAGAAGACAGGGTCAACCAGCACAACAGTGGACACAGATATCAAAGACCCTCTGGGCATGACAGGTCATCTGGTGGGAAGACTTGCAGCAAATCCAGCAGATTGATACTTGTCATGATATGAACTACGTTCTGCAAAGGACCTGCTACATGATGATGACACAAACAGCTAACATGTAGTATATATCTTCTTCTTTGTTTGTCCAAGGATGTAACTATGCTGGTCTGTTTACAGCAAAGCTGTGATATTTGATATTTGCACCTTTCAGCAGTGCATCTAATTTCTTCAGGCACTGTTGTCCAGGGTGGCCTACACAGCAATTCCTATGTGGGTTTTGCAGCCTTATTTTGAAAGAGTGGGAAAGACCCACGCCTCCCCTCCCCTTCACCTTTTCTCAACAAGCATGTCATAAAAGGTGACTAATTTGTGATTTTTTTCTTTGAAGTCAGAGTACATCTGCCTGAGAGGCAAGGACCAACAGTCGGCATACAAATAAGCCAGATCTGTCAAACGGATATGTATGAAAAAAGCTGAAGTTCTGGAACAAGACTAAAGATAAGAAGTGGACAAATAACCAGAACTTTCTGTTGGAGTTCATAGCCGGAGAACCCTAAGGAGTGAAGAAGCCTTCCTGGTAGCAAAGAGCATAATATTAATCCATTTCGGCAGGTATGATGGATATATCCAACTTCAAGTTTCTCCAGCTGATATCTGGTGAGTACGACGAGCTACCTGCTCGTGGCTTGCACTGTTGTGTTTACTGAAGTTTTCTCCACTCGGCAGAAGTACTTTTCTCTGGTTGTCTGTATTTATGTCTTGGTTTTCGTGCTGCAAGCAGTTTAGTGTACCATAAGACCTACACTCTTCCAGTGTAACAAACTGTTCACATTCCTTGACAGTATAATGTTTCCAATCCAAACATAACTTTAGTCAAATCTAAATCTTGTGTTATGATTGCTTTGAAATTACTCAAAGCAGCAAAAAAATCTGTCTGCTCAGAATTCATGGTTGGACAAAAAGCAACAAAATGGATTTTTGTTTTTAAACAGACTTGAAAGAAAATTAATTCTTTGAAGAATTCTGCTTAGCTAGAAAAGTTCAGAAAAGTAACAAATTTGGAGTCCATCCTTCAATTTATTATTTTGTGTGGATGGATTTTGCAAAAACAAAAATTAACAAATCTATTTACTCCAGCTATTCGAGGAGCACAAGACACATACAGAAAACCATGACACTGAACAAGTGGTAATAGTCTGATGATAGGAGGTGAAGAACAAGTGAAAGATAAAGAAGAGGAAGCAGCAACAGAAGAAAAGAAGAAGAAGAAGAAGAAAAAGAGGAAGGGGGACGAAGAGGAGAAGGAGAAATGTCAAAAAACGCAATAAGAAATAGGTAAAATTTCTCCAATGCATGGAAATTATCTTGTGACTCCAGCACAGTCTAGGAATTTAAAAAAAAAGATACCAACTGTGTAAGCAATCAGGTTGACCTAAATTATTAGGGGTTAATGGGTACATAGTTCAATGATTTTTCATATTTCGATCCTTGCAAGGATTATCTGTAGTGTGCTTCATTAACTAAATTACAATTTTAAATTAGAAAGCTACCAAGCATTAACAGCAGTAATGTATCTGCACAGGTTATGACACAGGATCAAATGTGGTAGACCATATTAAAGCCATGTATATTTAATTATAGAATAAGCATATTAAGAATGAGATATGCATGCATTTATGTTACCACTTTTTATATGTAAAGGAAACAAATAAAGGCAATTATTTATGTTTTAATGTATCAATTAGCAATGCTATAAAATGCCACAAATTAAAACTGTTACCATACTGTACAAGGATATCCTAACCAAGAAACAAACAAGAACTAGAAGATAATCACTGACTACAGTAACAGAATCAGGAATAAAGAGACCACACCAAGAACAATCAAGGTTGCTTCAGTTTACTGAGGCTGTAGCTATTCATCACCAGTGTTCACCAATGTGTAAGCAAAAAGATACAGTAGTAAATCTGTGATTCCCTTGGTAACATAACCAGTTCCATATGAGAGTCTGAGTCTGATTTGTATTTCAGTCAAAATATTATTAGGTTTTTTCATTTTTCATCTTATAGTAAGCCACCGGCCATTATACAGCAAGAGATGTCTGGAATGAGATTATGTGATTTTTTTTGTTTTGTCTTCTCTCCTCTTCTTCTGCATTTATCCTTAACAGGGTTTACAGCTAGGATGCAGTATGTAAGCCTTTCAACCCAACATATCTTATTTCAGCAAACCACATTTATGACACCCTTGGGCAGTGGGTCCGTTCTTGTTACCTTTCAATACAGAGTCCAGACAGTACACTTTTTTTTTTTTCAAAATAAAGAGTAGTGGAAACATTGTGTTCAGAATCTTGATATAATGAAGAAAAAAACACTACCTAAAACAACATGATTATATCTGGTTACTGTAAAAAGTCTGTAGAACATACCTGGATAAATCAAGCACTCTAATTCCCTTCAGTGGTGCTTCAGAAGCTGCTATATCATGAACTGGCCTCACCTAGCACAAACAGGCAACATCTCAAAACATTATGAATATGATAAACCCTTAATGCATGAGTTCTAAGACCACAGGCTCACAAGCTCAGTGGAAAGTCAATTTCAGGTTGTGGCAGGTATCAGTCATTTCTTCTTCTTCTTCATCATTTGCCTGAGTAACGTAAATGCTTTGTGCTTGTTTACAGCATAGTTGCCATATTTGCTTCTTTCCGCCAACACTTTTCTGGCATTTTGTTATCTGGGTTAGTCTATCCGGTTAGTTTCCTGGGACATTTTACAGCCTCACTTGTGTGGTTGGCTTGTCACCCCATGATCCACAGGTGTTGAAACCAAAGGACCTGGCCAGGACTGCTGCATGCAGACCTATTGGCCCTCAGGAAAAAGCAGGAAGGGGCAGAATATGGGCATTCCCTGCCATCCACGTCCTGCAGATGACTGTTTAACCTTAAACATATATACTGAGTTTTCCCCCCGTCACTGACTGCATTCTTTAGGGATCCACAAAAGCAGTCTGCAGATTTGAGACTTTGATTACTGTAACACAATGGGCATCTCACTTGCAAGTTCTTTTTGCCAGTGATGCCTTTCACAGTTGGCCAACAACTACGAGATCTCCTGCCAGCTTGATTTAGGCCAATATAAGCTATTATCCATGGTGCATGATGGGAACATGTGGCAGGAGTCTTGCATGGCATGACTATTTGTAAAACTAGCACAGAGCATGCTGACGCCTAAGGAGAAGTAGGGAGTATTTCCTTATACATAGCACTACAGCCTTAACTGTCTCTTATGAATGTGACCAACATCACTGCATCAAATATTGGTAAATTGAAGCTCACTGCTTTAGATCCACTTATAACTAAAAAATGCATGGTATCAACTCATAGATGACTTGTAGAAAAGATGCACTGAAATAAAATTCCCATATTTTACTAATCTAGACTTGTAGTGTTAACTCATGAAGTTACACTAAGTGGAGTTTGGTAAATTTTAGGAAATTCTTTAGTTACCTGAAATTTAGAATGGTGTATTAAAAATAAATATTAATTACTTGTATTGTAAATTATGAAGACAGTAAACCTTATTAAACATTTTAAGGTAATACATTTCGTCAATTACGATTAAGGTTTTCAACATGTAAAAGATAAGTTTTTAACAGATAAATATAAATTACTATTCATCAGAAACTATTAATGAGGATCTAAATGTCCCCAAAGAGACATCAAGATAATGTCAGTTTCACAAGAAGTCATGTTCAATTTAGAGAAGAAATTACACAAATCTGTCTATATTTAATTTAGATGTAGTGATAGCACCATTAATGAGTGAAATTCCATGCCAGGCAGAGAATACTATGCCATGTAGAGATATATTATATGGAAATAATGTTATCAAAATGTATAAATAAAATGTATCAATTTGAAGCATGTTTTCTGTGGGTGTTGAGGGAGATACAAGGTCCTGCTTCTTGTTTTTTTGGCGACCTAAGCCACAGACATATCGGAATGTTGTGGAGTTTCTCTGACATTATTTTTCCAGTTTGTTCTTGGTCTACCTCATGATCTACATCCTTCTCCTCTTTTAGCATATGCCTTGTAAGACAAGGTATTTTCTCCAAGTGGGCAAATCATTTGACTTACTGTCTTTGTATGTAATTTAGAATCATTTATGTGCCGAGTTGTTTTCCTATGACATTCCTGATGGTATATTTTCTGGTCCCTCTTGTAGCACTTCTTAAACATTTCATTTCCATGGTTTCTAATTTTCTTTTCTGTTTTTTTGTGAGTAACTACGTATGGCACTGTTAGAATAGAGTGGAAATGAATATGCTTTGTATGCAATTATTTTGGGCGCTGATTGGCATTATCTTATGCTGTTTAAAAAAAAGGGGGCGGGGGAGCTGTCCCAATACTTGGTTTGCTTTACTACATTGAATGTTAATTTCTTCACCCAGCTTGTTATCTTCAGCAAGCATTGTTTTCAAATATTGGCTCTCCTCCGAACGGCATCATAATATTATGGTGGCCATAAAATACCCAAAAATATCTGAACAGGGCTCAGGCATATCTAAAATACGGACTTTCTGCCAAGGAACAAATCGCTGCAAAACTAGGATTACTTGACAATATCAACATTGCATACGGTAGTAGCAGACAATAAATACCGACCGTTGACAATTTCGAGCGTTTCTGCAGATGATAAAAGCGACCGTTGACAATTTCGAGACATTACAGACGATAAAAGCGATATTGCGGATAGACCATGCCCTCAAACGCAGATTAGCAGTACTGTTCGTCCGATTGAGGATTTAGCAGCGGTAGATGTCAGACCTGCCGACCTGTATCCTCACACTTTTTGGCATGTGCAAAACGCGATCAAACTTACCGCCGAGCAGTATCCCCCGGATGGGGGCTAAACTAGATGCCTGGGACTCACGAGAAAATTAGTTGGAGGAAGTTGCAGGAGATGCGGTAGCTGCTGCTCGTGAGTCCCAGCCATCTAGTTTAGCCCCCATCCGCGCCGCGCGAAGCGGCGGATACAGTCGGTGGTGAGCACAGTCACAGAAACAGGTCCGCAAGTAACATATCGCTGAGACCCTGTTAAAAAATTTGTTTTGTTATATGGAGCCGGCATATTTTTTATAAACTAAGCCCTGTTGGGATATTTTTGAATATTTTATGGCTGCCATAATATTATGACGCCGTTCGGGGGAGAGCCCAAATATTTAAACTCAGATGCGGGTTTCATACCTTTGCACTCGACTTATATTTAAGTTCTGCTTTTTTCTTCCTATGACATTACTTCTGTTTGTTCAGTATTGACACAGTGTTTTTTTTTTTTAATTGTTTCCCTCATACATGTGAGATTTTGCTGTAATTTCATGTCTGTATCAGCTGTCGCCTGGTCATAAGAAAAGAATTGTTGGTTGATGTTGTTACTAATAATATTATTTTCGTTTCTTGGACTTTTGGCTATATTGGCTTCTTATAACTATAATTAATTACTATAATGTAGGTATAGTAGGACTGGTAAAAGTCACATCTTTGTCTTACTCCAGCTGTTACTGTGAATGGTTCAGATCTTATCTGATCTATTCTGACTACACTTATACTATACCATATAAACTTTCCGCTTTAGTTACAACAGAAAGCAGTACATACAATCGTTCTGAAATAAAATAAACGTAATATTAATATGATGTGATAGATAATGTCAATAATCAATAATCAAATGATAGTTATCTTTCGCATATTTTTACCTGGATGGCAGACGTTGATCTTCTACTGATCCTGCCTACTCCTAACAATATTTTCCTCCATTTCTGTGGAATGGACATTCGAATACAGTTCATGGCGTTTACAGAAGCCATTGAACTGCAGTTATAAGTACAACTTGATCATGCTTCTTCTATTCTAACCGTACCAAACCTCCAGGGTTCGGCAACATTGACAGCAGACGCTGAACTTTGGATCTTTCCATTCGTTACCGCATCGTTTCGTTTGTACAATAAATCATAATAATGCAAAATGAAGCTGTGAGCATTATTTTGGGATGTGCGAATGACACCTCCTTGAGGTATTTGATTGACTTTCTGACCCTGAATCAAATAAGTATGATTTGGAGGGATCGTGCATACATTAATATATGTGCAGAAAAAAAATACTTATTGTATCAAGCGCTCTACACTGAAAAAAGCGACAGGCTGAAGATGGGTACGTCAGGCAGAAAATGTCATCACGCAAGTATGTAGCTAAACCAATATCCTGGCGGAGTGGATGCCTGTGCTTCCTGTGTTTAAATTAACTGCAACTTTTCTTGTATTGTCACACTCGACAGAAGCTGTTGTAGTCAGTGCAGAGGTCAAGGCTCTCATCAGCGAAAACCCAGACGAAGCAGATGAACTCATCTACGCAGGTGGATCTGTTATACGACAACAAAGAAGAGCATGTGTACGCTTAACGGGTAGAGCAATCAAAAGAGCCAGCGGTGCCTTCTCCATGAAAACAAGCAGCATGACGATGGAGGTGACAACGGTAACGCATGCATTCGTATTGCTAAGAAAACAAGACAATACCCATGCGTGTCTACTTAACGATTCCAAGAGCATGATCCGAAAGATCCAGGCAGGTTCTGTGCGAAGACAGTGGATTGAGCCATTACAGAAGTCCACTGTGCATAACGTTGTCTTTATCTTCGTTTTGTGGCACACGGGCGTTGATGGAAACGAAAGGGATGATATGTTGGATCCGCTATTACTGCTGAAGGTCAACCAATGGATCAAGCTGATTTTATTAATGACTTCAGAGAAGTGGGAAAGATGAAGAACTTTAGAGACAGCGATTCCACATCGCTCACCAGAATGAAAGACTCGGGAGTTCAGATCGGCACAACCAAAAGCGAGAGACACCGGGGCATACAAAAAGACTAATCAATTAACAAAGAACTGGCACTACTGGTCACAGAACGTTGGGGTTCATACTGAGGGAAGGATCTGAGCACCTATGGACATGTCCGGAGTGCAATTATTATATCCTAACTAAGTAACTAATTAACTAACTAGTAAATCATAATACATCTCTCTCTCTCTCTCCCTCTCTCTCTCTTTCTCTCTCTCTCTCTCTCTCTCTCTCTCTCTCTCTCTCTCTCTCTCTCTCTCTCTGCGCCATCCCCCCTCCCCTTTCCCAAGCTGCTACTGCTGAGACAATTGGAACTGGGACTCTGCGCTGGCTGTTAAACGTGGGACGGATCACTTATGGGAATGTTTCGATTGCTCTGAATGTCGGTTAACTCAGCTTGCTACTTGTTATCTGTGGTCCATATAGACATCCCAGCCCATCGGTCCGATCCATTCGTGCTCCCTCCTCCGATGCAGAAGCCATCTCAGTGTCTAGGTACCCACTAGGTATTGGCTGACAAATCTTCTTTCTTTACCCCGCAACCGACTTCTACATGCTTGTCCTTGTTTATTAAACATTCCCAACAAACGGCTCATTGTCTTTGACCTTGTTTGTCTCAAAGTCTCTAGAACGTAGGACATTTAGTAGTAGACTTTTCCCCACTAGGACATCACAAAAGCGATAAACACCTGATGACACAACGTGCCACCATGTGGATGAGGATCACCCATGGAGAGGTCCCGGAAACCTCGTTCAGCTACTAGGTCATATTTATGGCCAGGCTATATTGCGGCCCCTGGCAAGAACCAGGGTGGGGCTTCAAAATAATGAAATATTGCATCTCAAGAGGATGACTGGAATTATGGAGAAGTAGGACATTCAGTATGTCTGCTCTGTAAATACACCTTTTTATGTAAACCACTACAGACACGTTGTGGACATGGTGACATTTTACAGACAGACTAGGAAAAGCTTGAAGCCATTCTGAACCGCTTCTTTACATCAGTATAAATAAACAGAGGGGGGAACCATTTGAAGCCGTTAAATATTATGAATTAATCAAGTAACAGAAAGTATTGTGAACGGCACTCATAGAAAGAAGTAGAAAGATAGAAGAACACACTAGACAACATAAAAATCGAAAGCTATAGTTACCGTGCCGGGAATTGAACCTGTCGCCTCCAGACGGCGTCTGCGCCTCGCCATGAATACAAGTGCACTAAGATACATGGTCAACTCGGCACCCCAAAAAAGGTGTCTCATTGGCCATGTCTATCGTACAGCTTGAAATCCACGACTATGGAATACGGACAGAATTCATTTCAACCCATTGAAATGGCACCATAGGTTACAGAAATTTATATTAACGAGGCAAATGTCAAATAACAATCACAGCAACAATTTACGTACACAGTAGACCTTATTGCCCTGTCTAGAATACACAAACATTTAAGAAAGGTATTTGATTGGTAGGTTCCGGTGTGTATACGTCATTCCTATAAATAAACAGAGGGGGGAACCATTTGAAGCCGTTAAATATTATGAATTAATCAAGTAACAGAAAGTATTGTGAACGGCACTCATAGAAAGAAGTAGAAAGATAGAAGAACACACTAGACAACATAGCTGTACGATAGACATGGCCAATGAGACACCTTTTTTGGGGTGCCGAGTTGACCATGTACCTTAGTGCACTTGTATTCATGGCGAGGCGCAGACGCCGTCTGGAGGTGACAGGTTCAATTCCCGGCACGGTAACTATAGCTTTCGATTTTTATGTTGTCTAGTGTGTTCTTCTATCTTTCTACTTCTTTCTATGAGTGCCGTTCACAATACTTTCTGTTACTTGATTAATTCATAATATTTAACGGCTTCAAATGGTTCCCCCCTCTGTTTATTTATAGGAATGACGTATACACACCGGAACCTACCAATCAAATACCTTTCTTAAATGTTTGTGTATTCTAGACAGGGCAATAAGGTCTACTGTGTACGTAAATTGTTGCTGTGATTGTTATTTGACATTTGCCTCGTTAATATAAATTTCTGTAACCTATGGTGCCATTTCAATGGGTTGAAATGAATTCTGTCCGTATTCCATAGTCGTGGATTTCAAGCTGTACGATAGACATGGCCAATGAGACACCTTTTTTGGGGTGCCGAGTTGACCATGTATCTTAGTGCACTTGTATTCATGGCGAGGCGCAGACGCCGTCTGGAGGTGACAGGTTCAATTCCCGGCACGGTAACTATAGCTTTCGATTTTTATGTTGTCTAGTGTGTTCTTCTATCTTTCTACTTCTTTCTATGAGTGCCGTTCACAATACTTTCTGTTACTTGATTAATTCTTTACATCAGACAGGTCATAAAGACAATGACAAAAGACGGGAGATGAGAAAGATAGCACGTGGGAGACATTCGTGTAAACCTGACTACATTTGCAGTCTCATTACATAGACGATACCACAGGCGCCCTGAACCGTTCAGATAGTACCGCGCTAGGGCCAGATGGGATGATATATGGTAAAATAATATTGACTCAGCTCAACTTGCAGAATTAATGTAAAGGTAAAATACCGCTTTACATCGGTAGCGCATTCTGCATATGGTAATAAACTCCAGTTTTACAGACAAATTAGCACTTGATGAGCGATGCAGCCGCCTCTGCTTTCCTTGACTCTTCCTGTGACTCTTTAACTATTTTAAAAAAAAAAAAAAAAAAAAAAAAAAACGCATAGTTATGCGATGACGAGTTTTTATTAGTTTATAAACAAAATATAGTAGCTGGGTATGTAAAAAGCAGACTCCAATGTTGTTTACTGTGTCCTGTTAACGTGTGAGTGTGAATTGCGTGGGTTTCTGTAATCGTTACAACGCAGTGGTCAATTGTGTTTAAGACCATATTTGTGAGCATAGCTCATGGTGCGCACACAAGAAAGAAAGCAACACGATTTGGATTAATTACTATTCACTAACTACGCAGTTGGAAGCATATGAAAGGACAACGTTACACCAAAACATTCAGTTCATTTTCAAATAGTCACGAATGGCACCTTTATCGATAAAGTTGAGGAATATTGCTAATTGCCGATTGCAGGCAGGAAAAAGTCAAAGTTGGGTGCATGGATCTAAATGTGCATCAGAGTACTATCCGTCGATTGTTTCACCAGTTTCAAGTCCCTGGTTCAGTTAAAGACCAAAGTGGACGACCCAGAATGACAACAGCAGCGGAGAATTGCTTTATTTGGCTTCGTCACCTCAGAGACAGGTTTATAACATCTTCCTCAACTGCGCAGGCATTGCCTCATGGACGTCATGTGTCTGATCAAACCGTTCTGAACAGACTGTATGACTTTGGACTGTGGGCACGACGATCACACCAAGGACCAGTCCTTACGCGCCGCCACCGCCAAAATCGTTTATCGCTTGTGTGATGTCGTTGTAGGGTACAACAAGCAAGCAAGCATTCAGGTATATCACATTCACATTTAATTTCAATAGGCTGCAAAAGTTCAGCATTATGACCATACTAAAATAATATTCATAAAATTAGAAACATTTCTAGGAAACTTTGATATTTTAAAATATTACAAGAAAATTGCATTTGTGAAGGGGAAAATATGAATTTGTTTAGACTCCTGCAAATTGTGAGACCCTAAGCTTAAACTGAAATCCAGCACTTACTACTATCCATCATCATCATCATCATCATCACCATCAACAACATATTGTTCTATTGTATGCCACATAGGGCTCCTGTGCACGTGTTTCAATATTTAGGATGGAATCATTTTCAGCATCTTTGGACTCTCTCACCAATGTTCGTCTTAAGAGTTTCTTGTGGACGTGCCCAGTGCGTGCAATATTGTCTACCCATTTGGGTCATTCTCTTGTGTCTCGACCCGTCATGATATCAATAAACAAAAACTGTGACGTTGCCGGATACTGAGCATTAGTGAGGACAACCATTTCA